TGGCAGATCACTGCAAGCCGACACGCTCCTCTCCTCTGCCTCAGCCTGCTTCAGTTTTGCTCATGAGCTGGAAGTTAACAGAAGTCCTCAGTAAAAGGTGTGTCCTTTGAGTACCTTACAGATGGGTCAGATATATCCTTCTATTGTTACATGAGGATTATAGAACATGTGAAATATAACATGCAATGCACTGCAAGAGCTAAGTGCATGGTAGAACAATAAGAGAACTGGCAAAAACAGTGCTGAGGATTTACCTGTGCTGCAGGTTTTTATGGGCTTTGATATAAAGAGTCCCAGTCCTGATGTTAATGTACAGTGCATAAGAGGCTTCCTCTGTAAGAGACTCCCTTGCAAAATGTGGACTCTCCGAGTAACAGTTGCCGATACCCTTCCCTGGTGCCTGGCGCCTCCAGCAATGCAGCTCCCTGGGGAAGGAGACTCTGGGTGTCCCGGGACCCTGGATGAGAGGGAGGAGCTGGCTACAGGGCTGGGAGGAAATGTGCAAATGCTACTCCTGTTTTCTATGCATTAATTCTTCATCACTCTGCATGTCCTGGGCAGGAACATGCCCTCTTGGGTCTCCCTCTATTACTCACCACTGATTATTGCAAATTAATTATAAAAGCTAATAAACTGCATTAGCACTTATAGGAGCTTGGACCTGGTAGTATCAAGCACGACTGGGCTCCTCCAGCACAGAGCACAGGGGCCAGGCCCAGCACAGGGCAGGTGGTCCTGCTCGCAGGGACTTACAGGGTGACTGGTGCCAAAGCACTGAGCCTTGTGCCCTGCTGCTCCAGGCCCATCTCTGCACCCAAGGCACTTAGCTCGGTGGGTGATTCCCATCACAGCCTGCGCTTTGACCCTGGCTTGGTCACAGGAGCCAAGAGCAGGAGTTTGGGTAAAGAAGCCTGGGCCTCACGGTGATCAAGGAGTCACAGTGGTGCACAGCTGCACTGCAAACAAGGAGGTAAGAGCACGCTTCATCCCCAGACCCTCTAGCCAGAATCTGTGCTATCAAAGTCAAAACTCAGTGCCCCTCAGCCACGTGTTCAGCACCATGAACCTATTTACTCTAGGGGTTCCTCCTCGGAGGTCCCTGTCAGGCTTTGGCTAGAAAAGAGCAATCTACTATAAAGGCAACTCTAGTAGAGGGTGTTTCTTGAGCTTTAGGAATTCATTAGCAATTCCTCGGCAGAGTAAGAAATGCATCCAAGCTTTGATATTTTACCCATCAGGTGGTAAAACAGCACTGTGAATAGATCGCTTGTACAAAGGTATTTGCTTTTAGTGCTGCAGCAGCAGATGGCCTCATAAATATGCAGTGCTCTAAAACTATGGTTGTAATTTCTGTGACCTGAGCTCTTCTTGGTCTCCCAGTTAGATGCACAATACTCCAATAATGAACTTTTTTCCAGAACCCTCCTCCTCAACTGCAAACAGTGCAAAGTAAACACCAAATGTTTGAAGTACATGGTATTACTACTACGTGCTACTACACTATTTGTCTTAGAACAGGTGCTTTTCCTTACAAAAAGTGGTGTGCTGTGGCTGGCCTGGCCAGAGCAGGATATCTGGCATCTTGTCACTGGCAGGTGCCAGGATAGGAGAGCTATCAGAAGAGTTGGAGCAGGATGAGGACACTGATTATTCCCAGCAGCACTTCAGCTACATGACCAAGGTGGGAGCATTTTACTTTGATAGCATTTTTCCTCCGCCGTTTTCCAACCATACACCTTGCAAATCTGTAAGCTCTGAAAAACGCTTTGCAAAACAACATGAAAACAAATTAAAAAGCCTTAGCTCTGCTGCAGAGGCCAGAGCCACAGGAAAGGCAGGATCACCGAATGTCCCAGCTTCAGTCAAAGGTTCAACCTCCCCATGGATTCTCCAAACACTCATGCCTGATGGCTTGGAGCTAATGCCAGCTCTTCAAGCATTGGTATCTGCTTCCCCCCTCCTCTTCCATGCACTGGGTGCTCCCTGCTCTCCAGCAGCCCCAGCTCTGGGCTCCTTCCCATCTGCTGCACTTGACAAGGTAGATTAAAAGAATCAACAGGTTGTTGATTTACCACAGGAGCCTTCAAAATGATTCTCACCACGTAGTTCCATGTGCACAGATTATTTCTTCTCTTGAAAGCTGTCGAGCTCAGAGGCAGAACTGCTTTTACAGCGATGACAGGGAGATCCTGCTCGGTTCCTCGCATCTCGGGCTGCAGCGTGTGACCCCTTGGGAGCTCAGGGCCATTTCCAGGGTTTCATCCAGGTTTTTGGCCTTTGTGTCGCTCGCAGTGCCTGCAGCAGGACCTGGACACATCACAATTCCAACTGCCTGCACAGCTGCTAACAAGCAAGTTAAACACCAAGTAAGAAAAATGACAACTATTGTTGTTACACTTGCACACTCCCATGGGCATCACGAAGCCAGGCTTTCAGTTTATCAGGGAACTGAATTTAAAGAGTACTTTTTAAGTGCCAAAAAAGGTGGCAGCTAAGGATGCTGAGTTACTATAGTAACCATGAGAAAAGTGGCAATTATCAGCAATACCACACAGAAAAGACAGCCTGGATTGCCTTTTCATTTTACATGTAGTCTATTGCTTAAAAACAAGCCCGTTTCTAAAATACAGAAATCAAGGAAAAATGATTTGAATGTAAAATGTTTTTGTCATGCAAAATGACTTTCAGAGACTTTGGGGGGGCATTCAACCTTTGCAATTTTAGCATTTTGAAACAGGGATCCAAAGGTGGAAACTAGCTTATTTGGCTGGACTTTGGAAGAAACTTCAGGACAGACAGACCTAAGACAAAAAAACTCATTCCAGTAGAACATAAAAAGAAGCATAAGGGATGTGCATAAAGGATGCCCAAAGGCCAGGGTGACTGATTGATGAACTGCATTTGCCTTTGCTGACTCATGCAGATCTACCAAGCTATCTCCAACTCTTGCATTTTCAATGCATATTCTAGGGAACATTAACAAAGCCTTGTTAAAATTTATTTCCTTTTAAAACTTCTAAAACTCGTATCTGATGCTGGGTCTGAAGGAAAAAAATGTCTGTGAATAGCTTAATTAATCCCAAACTCAATGCTCAGGCATGGGGGTCTTCCTACCTGTTTGCAAGCATGCTGCAATGAGCACTATGTGATTTTCAAGGACTTCAAGTTAAAACATTGCACACAACTGAGAGGAGCAAATCTATGTGTTTGCTTGCCATAAACGCTGGTTGTGAGAAATTGGCTAAAGAAAGATCTTGCTGCTTCCCTGCAGTGCTTTAGTTCTAGGTTTATAGAATGATGATTCAAAAGAACATGGGAAGCAAAAGTCACAGCCCCTGTAGCTGAGCTCCCTGTACCTCTTACCTTGCAGGCACTGTTCATGGCATTATAACCAAGCTGCTAACTAGAATACGAAGGGCAAGGATCCCAAATTGATGATTTTGGAGAGGTCTTAACTGTACAACCCTGTTGTCCTAATGACAGGAAAACACAACTTACCTGGCCTTGCCTATGAATCTGACAGAAATAACAGTCTCACCTCGAACTTAACGTTACTCCCCACCTGTCTCTTTATCCTGTTAAAATCAAGGGTAAGAGTGAAGAGCTGATAATGACTCCCTCTTGTCCAGGTTTTTTTTTGGTCCACTTGTTTTTTTAAAGTGATACATCAGAGGTATGAAGCCAGAGCAAGTGTCCAGAGATGGTCCCAGAAAATTACTTGGCTCTTTACAGCCTTTTGACTCTTAAAGAGCACACTCCAGCTTTCAGGTAGGCTGTGATGCAAGGAAGATGTTATGTGAGAAGCACCAGTGACCTGTCTAGGTTCACAGTGACTGAACATCCAACCACTTCTTCGAGACACACAGCTATGAAAAGAAAAATAGCAAAACGTTTTATATAGTCCTTGCCACAAATAAGGGAAGATGGTCCTAATCACTAAATAATGCTAAAAAGAAAGTGGTTAGATCTGCAAATCATGTACAAGCTATGATCTGATTTTTGAAGGGTAAAATGATGATTTCACCGAACTTTTAAACTGATTATGGTGTTAGCAAAACCAGGCATGAATCTTTCTAGAAGTACCAGGTTGAGACAGGGTAAGTGAATTATGTCAACACAGTATCTGTCTTCCTGTGGATTTCAGTGCTACTTTTACTCAAATCAATTTGCGATGATATGTTTGTACCTGCCAAGGAAGCCAAATACACAATCTGATCTTATGCCAAGCTACTATTAACAACTACATTTTCAACTGATCCTAGGATATTCATTAACTGGCCTCCATAATTACTAATAATTTAGAGACACATCATTTTAAATCACTTGCCAGTTGTAACCTGAGCTCACTTTATGACATTCAAATGCATTACACTTCAAAATTCACCGAGTAATCAACTTGCAAATGATTACCATGGAATAGCATGGGACATAATCAAGTAAAAGGTCAGAACAAGTATCACCAGGAATAGAACACTTTTGCCTCGTGAATTTGCTATGCTTTATAACTATTTCCAGAAAAACAGTGTTAGCACTGAACATCCTGCTTGGGGACTGGACACACCAGGCACTGCAGAAATGCAAGGGCTGGTGCTATGACCACACATCAGGTCAACTGGCTTCTATAGCAACCAGCAAAGCTTGACATGTTTTAATATACAATATTTTGTTCATTTTAATATTCATTATTTTCAGAGGTTCTACATGGACTGGTTTATCTCCATATTCTTTCTCCATGCAAACAAGGTTATCATACGTGCAACAGCAAAAAAATCATTGCCATTCATATTTTGAATAGATCCAATGCAGCAACGGAGGAATTTTAAATTTCTCAGTTGGAAGACTGAGATCCTCACTGAAAAACACAGGCAACAGAGATGGGTTATATCACATATATTATTTTATTAAGATAAATGTAACAGAATAAATAATATGTGTAACAGAATAAATAATAAAAACATAGAAGAATCTACTCTGAGCACAACATACAAATTATATAAATTTCTTCTGGCCTTACTGCAAATGTATACAAGGTTCAAATACTAAAGTACTGAAGCAATCACTTTTACCATTTCTCCTTACTCCCAAGTTAAATTATATCAGTAAAATTAGAGCTATGGGAATACTCAGGTCTTGCACATTTACCCTGTTGTGGTGTGGATTCACAGATTGCCCATGCACATACCTTGAAATGCACTGCTCTGTACATGCAGCTATCCAATTCCTGATGTATGTAATAGTGGAGAACTACCGGAAGAAGAAGAAAATGTTGCCCCTTCTGATGACTAAATCAAGAAGGAGGTCATGAAATACCTTTAAACAACACATTTTACATCTTAAGTACAATGTATCTGTGAAAAGATAGCTTGGAATCATTTAAATACAGTAAGCAAGTAATGTAAAAAACAGATTTGAGTCAGGCCATCATTTACAGATGAACACTGCAAAAGCTCTTTGACTTAATTTGTCCCCATACAGAACCTGTGAATATTGGAAATAAATTAGACAAACCAATAAATGTCTTAGGCACAGGAATGTCTGCTATGTGATTTTCCATTGCACTACAACTTAATACAAAACTGTAAAAAAAAGATACATTATTTACAAACTATATTCATTTGTTTACAAAGCTATTGGTTAATTCCAGTTTTAAATTACATGATAAATTACATACCTCTGTCATACTTCACAAACACTTAAAAGGCAAACATATTCTGAATACAAAGTAATACCCTCATGATCTGGCTATGCCAGTTCATAGTACTTCCCAGTGTTTGGATCAAAGTAACAATTCAGACATGGATCGTACAAAAGAGTCAAGACTTCCTCATCTTCTTCAGCATTGAAGTCCTCATCACCTATGTGAAATAAGAAAAGTAAAAATAAATCACTCTTTTATTCTCTTAGACAGTAACACAGAAGTACCTTTCTGTCAGATGTGACAGAATTTTTCTTTCAAGTGTATAGTATTTCAACTTCTAAATTACTACCTTCAAAGATAACAGGAGTTCACATTCTGAACATTTGTATTGAGTTGCAGTGAAATTATGGCATTCAGTATTTACTTAACAAGTGCGTTTTACAGATTCTCTAGAATCTAGAATAGTTCTCTAGAAGCACTTTTACTTATAATGGATCAAAGTATCCCTAATGCAGATTTTTCTCAATCAACAGCTTAATCAATAATGTTTCAATATGAGCACGGAAAGACAGCCGATCTGTTCTTAAAGTCTGCAGAATGAAACTGCATATTATTGAAATATTCTACATGAAAAATCCTAAAGAGTACAATAATCTTTATTTGAAGATTTCTTGCTTATCATGTTAACCTTGTATCAATTATATTTATGATTGTTAGCTTATTGCATAGTTTTTGTAACATTTTCATTATACATATATATATATAACTTGTAAGTTGTATATGCATTACAAATGGTTAAGTTTATTCAGTATATTTCATTAATTGCTCCTATGCAGATAGAAGAAACAGTATGACAAATAAATCTAATGAAATTTGCAGCAAAGTCAATACTGTTGCCATAAATGAGTTACTTTTTTATGACATAAATTTCTCCTTTTTGTAGAAGCTTAATAAAAGACAAAAAGATGACAAAAATGTGGAGCATTATTCTCAGACATTTTTAGTTATGGAGCAGTACAAAACTTAATTCAGATTTTAAGAAAAGGCTTAAGAATCATAAATAAGAGACCATGAACTAGGCTAGTGCACACAGAAGTGTGAACCTTATTAAATATGTACACAAATGTGCATCTTAATTTTCATTTCCTCAGCAGTATTAACAAATGTAGCCCAAAAGAAACTACTTCTTAATGTAATCAACAGTAAAACAACAAATCCAGACTGCTGCCCACCTTGCTGTTTGGATTTCTTGAGGCCTGGGAAGCTAACTGAGGTTAGCTCGGATGCCTGGATAGCTCCCAGGGAAATTAATGAAGAAAGTGCAGAAAGAAAGGGTAGAACTGAATGTCTTTCTCTAGTTTTCAGCAGATCACAGCAGATAAGCAGGGTATTCATGCCTCATGCCCTCACACACTCTTACATGTTCATCTGAAACCATTCTGTTATTTCCATTGTATTCTTCCCTTTTCATTATTTTTTTTGTCTATTGTCTATGCTTCTCTTTAAAATCTTACTTTATTCTGTTTTATTCTCTATGTTTAAATCTCCTTCCCTCTTTGCCTCAGCACTAGCCTTCAATATATTCCTAGGCTTGACTTAGGAATAAGAAATTCTTCAGACTCATTAGGGGTCTATCTGTTTCCCTGTCTATCTCAAATTCTCACTAAATCAGAATAGATTGCATCCAAGACTAGCTGGATTTATACCTTTATAGTAACAGCTCCCTGCATGTAATTTCACATGAAAGAGAACTTCACTTTCTAGCTAAAATTTCTTTTTAAAGCTAGGCTTCTTCTGGTAGAAAAATCTTCCATAAGGCCTTCCAAAGCACTTCCAGATGTTACCACCAATTTCCAATGGCAGTCTGGACTGTTCAGTTTTAAGAGAATTAAAAAATAGATAATTTTGTCAAATTCCTGCATGAAAACTCCACTTCTGCATTACTGACTTAATATTCTCCATTATAAGACTCAATTAATGCACAATAGCTGCATAAGAGAGCATCTTTCTACTTTCAAATTGTCTATTCTATGCAGTCTAGCCATAGGTAGCAATTATGTTTCTACAGCAGAAGTAACCAATAAACTTTCTAAGGAAATTTCAAGAGCTGTTTATGGGCCTGAAGCTGGTTAGTACTGCCTGAAAAAGTTATGGGAAAAAAAAGAAGTTTGAAAAAAAAAAAAAAAAGTGCCCTTTGGCAGTTTAATTTGAATATCACTGTGGAAGCAAAATCAAAGTTTTTCTTCTTAAAATATCTGTAAAATTAAACAATATCTTTCTGCAACTGCCAAGGCTGGAGCATCATTGATTTTAAATAAAAGTTATACACAAGACTCTGATACATATTCTAGAGGGATGAGTACTTTGTTCTTCTACTGAGCTGAAAGAGACTGAAGGTAGTTAGTACCTCTCTGTACTGTCATATTGAAGGAAATACTCTCCCACTGAAATCAGAGGAGCTACAGCTTTTATAGGGGAAGGATTCTGTTCTGCATGTCTTAAACTGAATATCAAAGAAGGGAGTCACACAGCAGCTTTTTTTTTGAACTCTTAAATGAATGTGTTATCTGAATTATGCTAACATTAAATGTTTGCACAGTCTGGAGACCTGATATAAACAGGCTCCCTTTTCAGAGAAGTAGATTGTCACTGTATTCTAGACTTTAATACTAGAAAATGGCTTGTGGTAAAGCTCATCTTAAGATACATGGGTCGTATTCTGACCCTGATAAAGGTAAATTAATCAGCAGTGGATTAACTGTTGGCAGACAGCAGACTGAGAAGAACACTGTGGGTATTCTCTTTGAGAATACTCTTTGAATATTCCCTTGAACATTGAACTATGATGCTCAAATCTATGTTGTAATGATGTGCCGCAAAGTTACCAGATGAATGTTGTTCATAGCAGTACTCCAAGGAAAAAAACTACTCAGCTTTGTGATTCTTACACCACTAACTTAAGTAATACTATTCTATCAGGGAGACAAAATGAAATTCTGGGGAATTTATGATCGTGCATTTGTCATTTACTGCAGAAACTTTCTTTTGTATGAAAGCTGCCATGTAGAATACAACTGTATACAAACCAGAAATATTAAGGCCAAATGGGGGAAAAATTTACTAAAAAGTTACCTTATTTATTGGTCCAAATTTTGATCTCATTTGTGAATTTGTGAGACTTGACAAATATAAGACTATTTCTCATTATATCTTCTCTAATCCTCTATAATCTCCTATTATATATAATATAGTTTAAGGTTGGCCAGGCACAATCTCATCTAGTCTGTGCATCACAGGGCACTGTATTTTCCCAAACCTCTATTTTAAGTTGAGGAATCTGTGTTAGAATAAAGTGTATCTGTTAAAATATGGAAGCAAAGTATGCAAGTCAGTTTTGTGTGCATGGCTCAAGGACATTATTTTTCACAGACTGTAAATAATGAGAAAGGGAGGCTCGGAGTCGGCTTGAGGATGCTGTAAATTATACAGATAAGCCACTTTACCAATCATCCCTCCCATTCCTAGGGCTGCTAAGATTACTGTGATCTTTTTCCTGCTATTTCAGTAAGGAAAGGGTGTCTATCAGTCTGGAAGAAACCCACAAGCTCCGCGCAGGATGTGGAAGGAAGAGACTCTCATTTTCTTCAACTTCTTGGTGTAATGAAGCCCTGTCCTTTCAAGCAGCAGTTTTGGGGAGTATTTGAAGATACAACATACTGCCAAGTACACTTCTTGTTAACTTTCTAAGGACAATCATCCAACTTTTAAATTTATGGAAATTCCAGCCTTACTGCAGCAGCCCTTAGATTTTATAATACTATCACCAAAACATTCTCAGAGATTCATCACAAATTTATATCCAACATGTCTTTAACTCAAGGATTACTGTCCAATTCGCTCTGGCTCACTTAGGACGTTTAACACAACATATTATTTGATTCCTTAAAGCAAGGTCCTCTCCTGACAGCAAAATTCTATTTTGCTGTCATAAACAATTACAAATATACATCTGTGAAAAGATTGACAATTTGAGGGGCATAATCTATTTTAGAGAGTAAATCACAGACATCTTCATCCCTTGGGCAGCCAAAATATACAGGAGAGATTTATGAGATTTCACACTGCATGCCCTGGACTTGAAGGAAAAAGCAGGTATCTGCCTAATTTCCTAACACAGCATATGAGAAAAAAAAAGGCCTTTGTAGAAAACAGGCTATTTGTTCTATTCTGTTGCTTTGTTCTGTTTTGTTGCTGACTTTCCAGTTACAGCTACATTCTTTGCCACTCTCCAAGCAATTACCTTAATAAACAGAAACTCAGAACACTTTTGGTGGTGACTCAACAATCTAATCAGAAAATGACAACATTTCAATAAATCTGAAATTTTCTTTGTAAGAGGAGTTCCACTTAAATAAATGAAATTGTTTTGAACAGAAATCATTTAATGGACACAATCTTTCTTCCATAGGTCTGCCATCCTGACTACCATAAATTCCTTATTTTAAAAGAGTAAATGCATTTTTAAATCCGTAAAAAATCCATTTTAAATCCAGAAGTCAGCAAACTACCACTATATAAGTTAACCTTTTAGTAGGATGGAAAACTGTTAGCATGAACTGAGAATAGCAAATAAGAGAACCTTGCCACCAAAATGCAGAATTGCAGAAAACATCCACAAGGCAGCACCAACACTGGAGAAGAAACATTTAGAGACGTCTCAATACACTTTCTACACAGGTCTCACCTTCATAGATTCCTACCTGGAATACTCTGTTTTGTTGAAGGTTGCTCTTTTAGATGTCGATTTGCAGGAACGATGGGGGGACTGAACACACTCGACCAGTCTCTGAAAAACAAAAACCAAAATACGGTTGCTTCAATTTATACGACTTCGGGCCACAGTTTGTGTCACAACTGACACAAGAATATCACGCATGTGAACTTGTGCTGGGGTCAGAAAGACTAGTCAGAGCTGTGGATGTAATTTCTTTATCTACTGATTCCTCTAGAGACGATGAATTTTCCCAAAGCTGGAAAGATTAATTAACTTGATTTCTTTACATTGCCAGACTGTATGAAGAACAGCTTGAGGTACAGCTTGCTTCCAGCATGAAGCAGGTAACATACTTCTACTTCCTGAAAAGACTTATGATCTCATATAGGATTTTCTTCTGACTGAGAAACCCAGCAAGGCTAAGTCATGTCTTGTAACTAGTCTTTTTCTTTTCCACTATTTTTTTTCTGCTGTTGGTGGACTTGTTATTGATTCCACATAATCTGCTGCTGATATGTACCCAGAATCTGGGGTGAATCAGGGGACACCCACCTATCTGTTTTCAGTCAAAATGGAAAAAAAGAAAAAAACAATTTTCTGCCTCAGGAAACAGAACTGCTGGTGTAGAAATTCAGCAAGTAGAACAGCAGATTTAAAGGAAGAAATATTGAATTTTCAATCATTTCAATATATAATATATATATATATTTTTAAAGTACCATCATAGTAGTTTCACATCTATGGCCAACATTAACCTTACTGCTCTTCAGCTAATGCCATTGAGAACTGGAACAACTGATCTGCACAGCAATATGCTTGCTTAGATATTTCATTATTAGCTCTCCCTGTCATTTGGTGCATTTGCAATCCTTAAGAGAGCCAAAGACTCATTTATAGCAGAGCTTCTAAAGTTTTTAAGGATAACAGCTAGGTTATATACATTATGATACCAAGTGGCACAGGAAAATATATTTCTATTTCTGCTACTTTCATGTGGTTTGTGCTACCTCATTATTAGCAGACATGAAGCCAAACACTAGTGTCAGATAGCCTGGAACTGTTGTCCCCTTACTCAATTCCCTAAAATTGCACAGGAACCCAGTGTCAACACAGGCAACCTCTTGGAGAAACTCCGGGGCTATTTTAAATTAAGCTATTTTAAGTGATGTAACCTCAAGGGAGAGAGAGTGCTTGCTGGTAGATGGAAATACCTTAGATAGACCAACAAATATAGCTAGAAAAAGAATATAGGCTTTGGAGCACATATACCATTCTATGTCTGATGCAAAAAAAGTTTAAAGATGTGTGTTTTTCATATAAAATATATCTTATTTCTAAAAGAAAAGGCAGTTGACATGCACAGAGCAGAGAGAAATTAAGAAGATGGAAAGAAAGATATTCAGATGATTGGTTCCTATAAAAAAAAAAAAGTCATTTAGAGAACCTGGAGGGAGGGGGATAAGCACGTGCCATTAGGCCACTATCTCTGCTGAATTCATGATTCTATTTACTCTGGAAATTTATGAATTTTAGTGTCCAGTCTTGTCTCTGGAAGGTACTTCTTCCTGAAAGGTCAATTCTGAGAAATCAGAAATGGGATGATCTGTGAGTAGCTCTCTGATTTGGTCCTTTTATTTTATCTTTCAATTATTGGAGTCAACTCTAGTGTTAAGGAGTTGTTCTGCTTCATCTCTACAGTTATTTTAAGGTACTTGGTTCCAAGGATGAATTATATTTCATTCTAGCAGATGCAAGCATAAAATTCAGGAACTATGATGGTTCTAATAGGAGGTAGAAGACAGTGTATTCATGACAGAGGCAGTAGAAAGGAGAAGTGCTTGCACTTTTAATTTTTTGAAGCAAACACAGTCTGGACTCAGTTCATGCTCTTTGTCTCAGTGTCCAAGGAAAACCAGTAGTTTTGCTCTTCAAAACTGTCCCACCAAAAAGAAACAATATTAGGTTTCACTATTGACTAAATATTAAAGTTGAAAAATTCTATACAATGTATATTAAAAATCTAGGACTTACAATGTCTAAATGGAGCTTTCCCAAAATCTCATGAACAAACCTGGCATGTGTGGAAATCTTCTGGGCCAAATTACCCAGAATTGTATCTGTGAATAAATATTTGCAGTTGATTGATAAACCTTTGAAAAATGACTTTACAGTGGTGATGCTGATAGATGGTTTACTCTAGCAGCCAAGAGACTTTTGGCATAACAAAATTTGCAATCTGCTTTTTGGAAGCACCTAAGATGTCATATCTACATAAGCTCAGAAAGTGTACATGAAATAAAAAAAATATAAAAAAAAAAACAAACCAAAAACCAAACCTTTTAGATCTTGCCTCATAATATAGAACTCAGGCATGGAGACAACTGGCTATTAACTTTTTGAGGAAAAAAAGATCTCTGTGGTCTGTATTTCAATTTAATGTCTTCTTGTATTGACTGAAAAGACTGTTTTTGGAGTGAGCTTCTTAAAGAACCTAGTTTATCTGCTCGAAACAGAAAAACTAATCAAGCATTTTGATTAATTAAAGATACTATTTATGCTACTGATGCCTCAAGCTGTAATCAATATAATCAACCTGCAAGAAGCTATCTAGAGCTTTCCTGATACCAAGGCTGAATGCCAAGTGTTCTCTTTGACATTGTGAGTTGCACTGTATGAAGGTGCAGAATGGACAGTTTCCATACACTTTTGAGGCAGGTTTTATCTTTAATGCTTTCACTGAAATTCTTAATTATTCTGCAAGCTATTCTCCATACCAAGATACAATAAAACGTATGTGATACAATCTTGTCACATCAGAGTCTTTTAAAATAGTTTCAGGAAGTAATTACTGCATGTTGAAAGACCACAGTAGCTGTACTGTAGTAGGAAATAAAAGCAGTGGTTCAGAGTCCTGAAAAGATACAGTTTTTTAATTTTATGGCAGCATGTTAAATTTTGCAGAAAATGGCATCCATAATAAAACAGAGATGCTTTATTAACTAGCACATGAACAGACAGGAACCCATCAAAACCATTACCACAATATAAGTAAATAATTAAAACCATCAACAGAAATCTAAAGGATCAGAGGACCCTGATTTAAATACTATGTTTGATAATCTCACTTTTTAATAAATATTTAACCTATTTAGGCTATCCTAATAGCTGAAATGTAAAAATACTAAATCATACTGTAAAGAGATTTTATTACGTTCTCTAAACATAAATAGATTTGCTAAACTTTATGCAAACATGCAATTTCATTGCCTTAAATCTGATTACCTATGCACACCTATTTGGGCTTTGCTTTGTAATGTATTATGTATGTACACATAATGTATTCATTTTAGTAGTGAGGACTTCTGAAGTCTATTAATAAAAATATGTCTGTTATGTATAAAATGCAATCATAGTCTTCAAATTAAGGTTGAAATAAATTTTCATGTCCTGCCAGTATGTCTCTGTAATAACAGTGCAGTCATCGTAGTCTTAAATTGTCCATTACTGCATCTGAAACACTTCAAATATTTTTTTTAATACAAGTATGTCATAAACTTAGAAATACTTAATGTTAATTTATAAATCAGTAACCATTCAGTACTAGTCAGCACCAGGTTGGAAATAGTATTTCTCTAACAGGAAATTGAGTGAGTATTCAGATATGCTACCAAAAGAATATACAGTATATTTATACATAGAAATGAAGGATTTCCAAGTGTACATTTTAATAACAATCTTGAAAAATAACATCAATATACATCTATGGATGACTTTGCATGAATTGAAAGTTTTATTTTAAAACAAAATATTAGAAGTGTTTAAGGTCAATCTGGCAATACATTAATGATTAAAAAAATGCAAGGCACCAGCTACATTGTATTATTTTACTAGAGTGTTATTGTAGTTTTAAAATATCATTAAATCAGCACAAACCAACACTTATCATTTCCTCCACATTTTTCACAGGGAACTGCATTCTGACTATGAGTAATCTGTTAATCTGTTCTTTGCCTCACAATCCGTCAAAGTGACAGATTCATTCCATCCCTAATACATAATATCTTCATTTACAGTATGCTTTACTGGAACTTCCTTTTTTTTGCTAGCACTGAGATTTGGAAAATCACAAATATATTTACAGAATGTCTTTTTTTTCTTGCTCTGCACCACTTTGGCAAGTCCAGCTTACAGAGTATTAAACCTCTAATATAGGCAAAGAGGTTTCAGTTAAAACTAAATAATTTCATTTTTAATGAATTAGTAACTAAAAAAATACAAGTGAAACTGCACAAGAAAGACTTCAGCCTGCTCCTCTTAAAATATTACATCTGTAAATGAACTGTCTTATGTGAGTTCCGGATCAAGTTCAAAGACAATAAAGAAAATCTGAATGCAATAAAGAAAATCTGAATGCTACTTATTAAACTAGATGTTTAGACAACATAAATTGCTGCATTAAAATTATGACAGGATAGTCACGCTGACCAATATAAGCTGAAAGCCTGGCCTAAAAATGCTATACCATATGTCTTTCAATACTACCGTACAAATGACAGATATTGGCGGGTTATTAAAAAAAATACACAGTCACCTACATCAGTCTAAGAATAACTATGTCCTTAATTTGAATTGTTACCAGCTTAGTAACTAGCATACTGTGCTATTTGGTCAACATTTATTAGTTAAATACGTGAAGCTTCAATCATAGCTACTATTAAATAGCAGCTACATTGCAATTTACTTAAATACTAAACCTCTACTTGATTACAATGTCAACTAGATCACAGTCCTGACGCTCACTACCAATACAAATGACAAGAGAGAAGAATAGTGTTTTATCATCTCATTTAAGAGCAATATTAGCCCTTTTTTCTTCGTTAGCTTTGATTCATCTGTTTATCAGAAGACAAACTATACAAATTGGAATAATGAGTTGGCAAAGGTTGTGTACTGTGTATTAGCGTTCCTGCATATTAATCTACTCTTAATCAAGTAAATTCTAATAAAGCACATCAGATATTCTTTGATCAGTGAATCAACTGAACTGAATTCCCGCGTTTAATAAAGTGTCCATTAGGTAAGGTTTGCTCTACTTTTTTATATATAATAATTATATAAAACACTCATTTTAAGAACTATATTTTAATGCTGCACCAATTCAGAAAACACCTGAAACTAGAACCTAACGAGTCTCGGTCCAAATAAAATAAATTATTTTCTCTACAGTTAGTCCCCTACAGCATTTTACTGTTCTGGACATCCTGGATGTAGATTGCATCCCATTTAACTTTTAAGGGGTGACAACAAGCCAGAGGGCTTTTACAAATCAATGGAGACAATGATGACTCTGCACAACCCTGACTTTACTATCATCCACCTCTTAAAGGTGTTGCAGGCATTATCCTGAGTGCAGATGGATGCCTGGAGCCATGGAGCTCCAGGACTTGTTATCAAAGGCAACTGCAGAACCCCACTCACAAACTGCATTAAAACAAGAGTAGCATCCTACTGTAGCTAAGCTTTTACTATCCCGTTAAAAAAATTAAACTTGTTCAATTAGATATTTCCTGTGACATTTGCTTCTTTTGACAGGTTCTTTTACTTGCATTTTATAGTTTGACCAATGCAGCAGAATTTCACTAATTCAGATTAGCAGACCGATTACAAGTTACTGTATTCTGTGGCTGAGTAAAGTAACCAAATATGTACAATGAAACAGGGAAGTACATTTTGTGATACATTGTCCCTGTTTATTTATTTTGACAACTATAGTGTAATTTTATAATACTTCATAATGTAATATTGTCTGTTTTACAAAAATGATTGAGTTATGAGACTTGGATCTTGTAACAAATCATAAAAATAAATATGCTTGTTTGTTTGCAGAACTCTATCTTTTAATTTCCATTTTCAGTTTTGAGTTATTCTGGTATTTAAGCCCTTTCCTGGATCTATGGGAGACAAAGACGTTTTGGGTCTGAATTTCACAGCATTTACATGAGAGAAGTTCCACTGTAGTGCACATGTTATAACTATAATCCTTTGTTCACTGTCCTGTTTTATAGGTGATTTTAATCTCACTAAATCCCTCAACAGTACAACATTTTGCTCACCTGGCTCTCCAAGCAGCCTACCTTGCATTACCTAATCCTGTGCCTTGCAAAGCAGCATGTTGTAGAGGCGATTTGTATAGCAGCAGCAATATTCTGTGGCAGACTTATGACCATTACCCAGTGGAACTACAGGAAAATGAGTCTTGCTAGGTCTTTTTATTGACTGCATTTCCATTATCTTCACAGGTGCTTTCTTTTCTGGCTTGTTCTTTTATCTTATTATGGACAGAAGTTACATTTTCTGGACAATAGCTGTCACATTGCTCTCTCCATTTCCCAGAAAGTAGCAGTGCTGCATTTTTTTTCTAAATTAGCTGAGATTTGCCAAATTCTCTATCACTTCTCACAATAAATTACCTGTTATTTCAGTAAATATATGATCTAACTGCCTGTGTCATAGTATTTACATCCATTGATCCACAGTAGGATGTATCGATTTTTCAAATATTTCTCTCTGCTTTCCTCTGCATAGATTTAGACATTTTCTAGTTGTTCAAGTATTAATAGTTAAAATTGGCTTTAAAGAACAGCTTAGGAGCTAAGTTACACCATTACCATTAATTCTACCCTCTGTCTCAGAGATATACCCTTCATGAAAAACAATACCCAGTTTTCTTTTTTAAATGAAATGCAATGATGTGAATCATAGTATTCGAGTCACATCTTCTCCAGTTTAATATCATGATGCAAACTGACCTCATAATTTTGTCACCTGCTCTATTTACAGCCCAATAATGCTCTTCTGGCAGTTCACAAGGGCTACTGAATTTATGAGGTACTTGCAAGCCAGGTATTTTACGAATACTTTGATTGCCTGCATTTCTTGAAAACCATTTCTACAGAGGTTTAAGTCTACTATGTGTACTGGATTAAAATAGCATAAGAACTAAGTAGTAATTTCTAATATTTTGTTTTAAATTTTATTGTATGGAAATACAAGTTTTTACTGTTGATCACATTAACTTGATGTGCTGGAATGTTCTATTCTTACAGATAATAGGGTTTATTCTGTTTTTTTTGGTACATAAAATGTACCAAGTACCAAATTGCTTTAATGCATGCACAAAAATAACATAATAAAACCTGACTCAACCAAACTACAGGTGCAAAAAAAAAAAAAACCCAATGCAGTTCATATTAAAATACTGGCAATTCTAACACTATCAGAGTAACAAAATCAATTATACAGTCCTCACCAAAATGTGTCAGCCACAAGATATATTTGACCTTAGTCAAAAAATTTCTGTCCGCTTCACCCACTGTAACAATTCACAAGACTAGAGATAATCCCTTTGATAACTTGCACCAAGGTATAGAGGCTGCTCCTAAAACAACATGAGCACTTTGATATAGACGTGAAAGGGAACTGGAATCCAGGACTGCATTTAACTCCAGTAATCTACTGTCTGTGCTAAGAAACACAGGGCTGAATGTTGCAATAACTGATGTATCTGGTGAACTTCTACAGCAGGTTTCCTAGTGTTCACTTCATAAAATCTAACAAGATAATAAAAGTATAGAAGGCAACACCGAAACAAGTGACGGAAAACATGTCTACAAGGAAAAATGAATATTATGCTGTAAAATCAAACAGCAGTACACTATCATAGGACATTTCAGACTATTGATATCCTAAAAAAAAAATCAAGCAAAGCCTCTAATTCAGTCATATCTAAAACGTCCTCTCTTCCTAACCCTCCCAACACATATGCAGTTTGAGGACAAGCAAAATCCATGTTAATTAGGCCTACTGAAAGTGAAATGTTTTTTGTTTTTAATAAGCACACTTCCTATTCAGACAGTACAAAAATGACAAATTGATGTTGGGTTTTGCAAGTACACATCAGTTCTGAAACGGAACAGTTAATTTTGATTGCCTCAACTTCTCCCCAGATACCTTCTCCACTTGTCCCCAAATCTCTAACTTACCTCACATTAAAGTCACAGTGATTTTGTTACCAATGCCAAGTAAAATAGACCCAGATAAAAAAATGACAGTCAAAATATGTTGCAGACAAGACACCTTTCAAAATCTCTCTCTGTATTATAATATAATACTCACTCCTGTCTGTGTTCTCTATTGAAAAACCCTGCCTAACTAGGTAACATTAATATAATTTGTAGAGAACGGATCCCCTGACATCTAGAGTCACCTACAGAATTTTAGCTCCAAGCCATCAAAGCGAAGAGAGAGACAGAGAAAGAAAGAAAAAGATGAGAGCGTGTGCATGTGTGGCAGATGAGAAAGGCTTCCTGAATCGCACACTGAAGTGGGTGTGGGATCAAGGCCTATGTCAGTTACTTTAAATATATAACAGTACATTCAAAATATACAGAATTCTGCCCTGCATTCTGGGACAATGCAGACATACTGCAACCTGTAGACAATGCATGAAAAGAGCAATAGTAAAGCTCTCTGAGAAGAGGCTGCAACTGAAAAGAGATTTGAGATCAAATCAAAGAATGTCACATTTAATATTCAGAACATTTTAACTGAATTCTTATTGCCTGGGCTATAAATGGAAGCTTACCGTGGGTTGGAATGAGAAAGTGGGCTCATTTCTTTCTGATAGTGACGCTCTTGACTGACAGGCTATGAGAAACAAAAAATAATAGTGAGAAAATAACTCTGCAAATATTCTTTCAGAACACTTAAAAGTATGTAAGAGATCCTTCGGAACATACACATTTGCAGCTCTTGATACTAGAATTTTATGCTCTGTCTTCCCGTGAAATTTAAAGGGGATGTTCAGATCCAAATATAACGTAACAGAAGATTCTCCTCTAGGCAGAGGTACGTAGTACATGTCTCGTATAGAAGAATGGGGATAGAGTCAGGAAAAATGGGAAGGGCAAAGTCCTGTCTGGTAATAGAAACCCCACAGTGCATGGATATAAAAAGTGTGGTGCAGGGATACTTTGTTGGATCGGTGCAGAATCACCCTCACTCAGACTTGCCAGGACTGACCTTGAGTTAAGAGAGAAATCTCAGTGGTCCCAAATGAAGTCAGCCAAAATATGAATGCTTCTTTATGACACTGCTAACCTGAAACCTGGATTATGCTGTTAATGGGTAACTGAGAGTGGACTATATGAATCTTCATACCAAATACATTTTTCATCAAGATTCTTCAAATCCTACCTACACATGATTATGCCTCAATGGTTTTAAATTACATTATCTAACTTGGCAAAAACTGTTATTTGCAGAAAACTGATACTTAAGTACTACTATAAATATTCAAGAATTCTAAAATTCAGAAATATATGTAGTCTTAGTATATATTCACAGCTTCCAGAGAATAACTCCTACACATTACCACAAACATCAAAAGCAGTTCTAAACATATCATTCAAGCAGACAGAAGAGCAAGTGAAAATAGAAGCATACACAAAACACTCTCTGTTATGTGCATAATTTAGTACATGAAATGCTAAAAATAAATATTAAGAATTATGAAAGGGATTGAGACATATACAGAAATCACTATAAAATATGAGTATATTCGCATGCTTTCAGGAAGTGGGGATGGATGTGGCAAAATGTCTGTTCAGGATGAATGACATCCTAATTACTGCCAGACATGAGTCACTGCCTAGGTAGTGGATGGTGCAATTCCCAAGTGATGGCTAGTGGAAGAGAGAGGACAAGAGAGAGATTGAGTTAGTCGGGCTATGAACCAGAATATCTGTCTCTGTAATTTTTAGTCTCATTTCATAGCAAAGAGTAGTCTGCCTCAGTTTTGCAATTTGACTTGATGTGAATAGATCCCTCGAGGGGTTGTCAAACCGAGCTCTCAGTCGGAATAATTCTGGGTTTAAATATCACTCTTCTTGTCTGTCAGCCTTCACATCTGCCAGACCACTTCTGTGTCATGTGGCTCTTTTTTTTGTGAATCACCACAATAGAGGCCAAAAGACCATCCACAAATTAGGTATGAACCTGGAAGCACTCTTTCAAGTACTTTTCAGATCAAAGGCCTATTTGATTGAATTTATATTTAGGAAGAAAATGCTTGGGAACAAGTAACCTGACTTCTCTGCAAGTACTTCTGACTTGAAAGACCCACGAGACAATTTTTGAATCTGATGATGGTGCATTACACCACTGTGTGCTTCCAGGATTCCTCAATGAACAATCTTGCAGTCTTCATTCTCCCCTCTATTTCTGAGAATCAGGAAGTATATGGAAGAAAACGTCCTCAATTACTCTTACATATGATCTTGCTTCAAAACATTTGTATTATATGCATGTCATGTAACACAGAATGAAACAAAATACATCATTGCAGTTGTCTGGAACTAGCTGCTCAAGAAAGTGAACGGGCCAATCCTCTGATGAGGGCAGGAAGGTGTAAGTGGCTCCCTAGAACAAGCATGAGGGCAGAAATATTTCATAGGCTGTACAACATCCCACGGGTAATGTGTGGAGTAATGTTCAAATTCACAAGGTTCTCCACAGTATATAAAATTGTGTCCTTCATATTATCACTAGTTGTTGAAAAGCTGATGTGGGACATCATGTAGATCTTAGCATTTTAAAAAAACCATTCAGGTAAGACACAGGCAAATACTTTCTTTTTAAACGTGTAGTGCTGCATGTACATATTACTGAATAGGAACCTCGTCCTGTCTTCCACACATATTTTACAAAGCTTTACAATTCACCTTCAAAGTAAAATACTTAAAGAATTTTCTTTAAAAATATATTTATAGTTAATAGTTATGCTGGGTAATGAATAGTACTGAAAGCTATTTTATTCATTTTTGGCTATCATCATTTACAGCAGCTGCTAAGCTACTTACATTTCAGCAATTTATCCTTAGAGTATATTTTCAGTTCCTGGTAAACTATCATTGGCTATAAAATAGTTTTTAGTATATCACTTTTATAGTTGTTTAAGGACATCTGTTCATCTGTTTTAATGGCAACTTAGTAACAAGATCCACGTGCCTTTCATTCAGAGGGATTTCTGAACTTCATTACAGTAAGTAGTAGGTAAGAATCTTCAATGAATCTAGAAATCAGACTAACAGTGGTAAATAAAGGAAAATTTAAAATCACTAAAAATGTGATTTTTTATAATAAAATGTTACTTTGATAAGTAAGTTTGTTATCTAACACATTATATCCTGCAATGGCTTACAAAATATCATATATATTCCAAAGAGGAAAGATACTCAAACATTTGCCTTTTGGTGGTGCTGTTGCCACAGATTCCACCAAGGCATAGAAAGGTTATATAAAATGAACAAAAGTTTAGAATAAAAATACTCCTCACTTGTCTTTGAAGGACATAATACAAAGGAATAGGTATTATTGATTTAAATAATCAAGAAGTTATTACTTGGAATTACAATAAACATGAAAGTTAATCATGACAAGAATTTCAAATTGTCCTTAATTTTTCACATCAAAATATGAGGATTATTTCTGTTTCTTTTCATGCACTGTACACTTAAAATCATTTGCTAAATACAACTGAAAGATGGCTACATATGCATAAAAACATTTCTGTGGTTTGCAAGAAGGACTGCAACGGGGATTCATCGTGCCAATTTGTTTAACTGAACTGGAATGGCAGTGATTGTCACTACTGAATTTCAGTTGACATAAAATAAAGTTCTTTTTACTACACACATAAATAGCTATATGGAACTTACGTAATGAATAAGTGTATGTAAGGAATAACTGAATAAAAACTGTCAGTTGAAGAAATTACAACTTTATTCATTTTAGGTCTTATAGCATGACTGGATATGCATGGCAGAAGATTGAAAATAAGAGCAACTTTTGAACATGCTTTAATCACTCCAAATATGTTGAATTTGGACGAGGGCACGGAATGCACCCTTAGCAAGTTTGCAGATGACACCAAGCTGGGTGGAGTGGCCGACACTCCGGAGGGCTGTGCTGCCATCCAGAGGGACCTGGACAGGCTGGAGAGTTGGGCAGAGAGGAACCTCATGAGGTTCAATAAGGACAAGTGCAGGGTCCTGCACCTGGGGAGGAATAACCCCAGGCACCAGTACAGATTAGGGGTGGACCTGCTGGAAAGCACCTCCACGGAGAGGGACCTGGGAGTCCTGGTTGACACTAAGTTAACCATGAGTGAGCAGCGTGCCCTCGTGGCCAAGAAGGCCAATGGGATCCTGGCCGGCATCAGGAGGAGTGTTGCCAGCAGGTCGAGGGAGGTGATTCTGCCCCTCTACTCAGCTCTGGTGAGGCCGCACCTGGAGTACTGTGTTCAGTTCTGGGCACCCCAGTATAGGAAGGACGTGGAGCTTCTGGAGAGGGTCCAGAGAAGGGCAACCAGGATGATTAAGGGAATGGAACATCTCTCGTATGAAGAGAGGCTGAGCGAGCTGGGCCTGTTTTCTCTGGAGAAGAGAGGGCTGAGAGGGGATATGATTAATATGTATAAGTTCAGGAAGGGAGAATGCAGGGAGGAAGGGGACAGGCTGTTCTCACTGGTGGCCAGCGACAGGATGAGGGGTAATGGCCACAAGCTGAAGCATAAGAAGTTCCGTCTCCAGGTGAGGAGCAACTTCTTTACTGTTAGGGTAACAGAGCAGTGGAACAGGCTGCCCAGGGAGGTTGTGGAGTCTCCTTCTCTGGAGGTCTTCAAAACCCGCCTGGATGCCACCCTGTGCCACATGCTCTAGGTGTGCCTGCATGAGCAGGAAGGTTGGACTAGATGATCTGTAGAGGTCCCTTCCAACCTTAAATATTCTGTGAATCTGTGAATTCTGAGCTTTAGCTAGTTTGAAGACTAGCTATGTGTATAGTAACATCTTTATTGCACAGGTGAGACTACTAAACAGTTGAGAATGGTGACTGCCTAAATGCGGGAATTCACAGAAAATAGCTATATGGAATTATTTGAAAGATTTACAGATTTGAAAGCCAGAGGGAAAATCAGATCAACTAGAAAGACCATATCTATATATTTCAGGCCATTAAAATTTAGATCACCGATAAAAACATTGAACATCAGGTCTAGAAATGACAGAATGATGGAGCCCTGCTGGGTATACTCCACTCACGGATAACTCCCTGCAGACTGCTTTTGATAGTTGTCAGTTAGCCAGTTCTAAATTCATTTAAAGTGCACTTTATTGATATTGTATGCTGCTCATTTTTCAAACAGAAAGTCAGATGCTAAGTGAATACTTACAATGATCTCTGCATATTATATCTAAGCAGTTATCTTTATGAACGTTGCAATTTTATCAATGAAATAGGATCTGTTAAACAAGACATATTTTATATAAAATGACTTTGGCTATTATTAAATGTTACCATCCTCTCAATCTCTGTTAACTGAATCCCGTATCAGTTTTTCCACTGTTTCAAAAATTATGTCAGACTCACTGGCCTCCACTAGCTCTATCATTTCAACTTGTGTTTGAATGTTGGCACAGTATCTCTTAGACATTTCTGAAATGTAGTAAGCATATCAAAATAAGCAAAAAAATAGTAACAGGACACCAGAAATATCCTCCATCTACTGTTTTAAGACTCTTCTAGGTCAAATAAGTTGAAGTCTTAATTAAATAATCACCGTCCCTGATAAATCTGTTTATAACCTGCTTAGAGACTAAAGGACTTGAAAATGAATCATATTCCTCCTGGGATTATTCTGCTTTTCTCCTGAATATCTGAACAGAATTACAAAAAGCAGTGGTAAATCCAGCTCCAGACTTCAAAAACTAGTATCTGCATTAGCAAGAGCTGGTGCTATGGAAAGCATATGTGAAAAATAGATACTGTATTGGTACAGAAAATCTCTTTGAGGTTTGGCAGAGGAATTCTGGTAGAGGAAAGTGTGGAAGCTCAACTGCAGCACTCTTTGCTGTACACAGGGCCTAAGCAGTCAGTCCTTATCTGAGAAAGCCTGCGTTTGCTTTCTAAACTACCTCTTCCATCCTTCCCAAACCAAGGCTCTTGCCATTAAAACTCCAATGTCCACCTTGCAAAATGCACAGCAGAAACTTGCACAAGGCTGTACAGATAAAACACACCAACATTTCAGCCTACAGTCATTTGAAAAACTTACCTCTCTCCAAGCCAAATATGTCTCCTTTAAAACCTATTTTATGTAGAGAAAGATTGCCCCAAAGGAGTATTATGAATAACTATACCTATATTAAATTCATTTCAAGTGACTTACTATAACTAAACACTTGAAACTGGAAATTTTAGTCTGAAATGTAAAGAAGCTGATCAAAGCAGTGGGATCAAACAATTGTCTTTGGAATCACGTTGTGCTTCATTAAATATTGCAGGCAATGTTATAGTATGGTGTATTTTATTTTAAAAGTTCATTTTTTTAGTCACATAATTTGTACTAACTCAACCTGACATGTCTAAATACTCTTACCAATTTCCTGATAATTAAGGTGCTCAAGAGTTAATGAAACTGCTATTCTCTTTATTTAATTTGGTCTAATTTGTCCAGTCTTGGAGATTTACTCCACACAAAAGTCTATCAATTGAATGCTACGAAAATTCTTCAGCAATTTGATGAAATCAATTAAATGCACAATACCGACTTATCTTAGGTAACTAAAATAAACTAATATTTCTCTTATATTCCTCAAAATATTACTCTGTAAACCAAGTTCTTATTAGAATAATTATTCATTTATCAATAAATCTCTGCTAACTCCGAACCTCCCTTTATTAGTATATCACAAAGCTCTAATTTTGCACTGGTCATGATTACAAGATGATTGCTACCACAGACCTCTATTTCAAGCTCTATAAATTCCTGGGAAAAAAAAACCCTGCAGTTAACATTTTGGAGTGTTGAGCCTACAGTAATTTATATTGGGGCAACACAGCAGCATGTTACTCTTCCAAGGCTGGATCTACCTCTGACAGTTGTGTGGTGTTCTCTGCTTAGGCCACATTCATTGTTTATTATTGTTTGAGCTGTAATAAAATAAGAACTATGGAGCTTAGAGAAATGGACTATGAGGTTATTGAGTTTTACAGCAATGCTTGCACTACCTTTATATAGTTGCCAAATGTTATTCTGTGATTTCATACATTCAATACTCTTCAGTGGAGTGCTAACAAATATGCCTCTGCTTCTAATAACAGCACTCTGTCACCCAGCAGAGCTGTGTGCTGTTATGCTACACCTCATACCAGGACAAATATTGATACAAGGTGCAGAGCACAGTCGGGTCACATACTAAGTGCTCAGAGCTACTGCAGTGTCACTCTGCTGTTCTCCTGGTTCAGCCATTAGCTGCACAGGAATGGAACTGTACCAATGCTACAAAGCAATTATTTTCCATTACTCGTACTGTAAGGCAGCTCCTGACTGGTATATCTGGCTTTCATTCATTTTGAAGCTATTTTTTAAGTAGCTTTCAAAATATGTAGTTTTTGCAACTAATATGACTATTTGGGGTTCTACGCTAGAATATATAAAATAGGTTTTCTTGTTTTCCATTGAGGCAGTGGGGAAGCTGCTGGAAGTGAGTGTGTTTTGGTTGTGCACTTCATTTTGAGTTCTAAACAAGTTAGGGTTGCCTTAAATTTCAAAGCTACTCTCAGAAGTTTTACCCAAGACTACTTTACCCTACCAAGAGTTGGTAGGAACCATGCAATGATTCAAAGCATTTTAGAAAAAAAAAAAACCCATAGGTTTAAACTTACTGGTGGGAAAGCAGAGTGCCAGGTTGCTGTATCATCACTGCTTGTGCTTATGCTAATGTTGCAGTCATCTATCTGTGACGCACTTAAGCCGTGTGAGATCTCAGCATCCCCAAACTCTTCATTTTGTTGTCTTGTCATGCTAGCCAACATCTGTAGTTCAGGTGTACTTAGTCTACTTGACTGGTAGTTTTTCCAATGGTACTCCTATGAAAAAGAATGGAGAAGTTAACAATGCAGATCATGGCACAGAATATATGAATAAAATAGATCCCTTGGGGAATCCTCTGGGGAATCTTCAAGATGCTATGTTACTGGAAGAGCAGTAAAATGTTTATCAGAAATGATTAGTTAACAGATATCTGTTTAGCTAAGAAGATCAAGGACGTATATACAAATATATAACTTAATAGTTTGTATTTTGCTGCCTTCCTGTGATGGACTGCAGAGCAGTTTGCATCTGGAGTGTTTAGTGAATTTGCCATACTATTGAAAATACAAACAGAAGAAACAAGCCTCCAAGGGTATGAACATCTAGCAGCTAAAATGGCTTAAATATCAAATGCAAATCTTGAAATAAACACAAAATTAGCACGATTTCATAAATACTGGCAACATGAAAGTCACTAATTTGTCAAACACATCACAAAACTTCTCTGGAAAGCTACATATGGCAGCCTGAAATTTCAACAGATATTTCAGAAATAACATTTGCCTTTAAAAACACTCACAAATACGTGAGCATATGAGCTACTGTATATAAGTTCACTTATTCTGCTCTACAAAACTCAGAAATATACATGTCACAAAAGACATTATATGCTGGAGACTATTTCCACATTATATTTTGAGGAAATCAAGCAAAAAGAAAAATACATGTCCTCAATTTGCATCTACCACTTATAATTTCATATACGAAGCTCTCGCTTTCACCAGAAGGATTACACAACATCACTGCTCAACCAACAACATACTTTACAGGTACAAATAGTGCATTTTTCTGTTTTAGGCAGTTCCATATACCTTAATGAAACTGTATTTTCTGGGAATTGCAAAAGCATTACTTTCCTTTCGATCCCCTTATTTGCTTTCTCCATTCCTCAGATCAGAGTAAAGCCACGTAATGAATGATTACAAGGATAGCACATTACTTATTCCCCTCCAGAAGAGAAACTGGAAATATGTCATGCATTCATTCACAGTACTGTATTGCAAATATAGGATGTGCAATATACTGCAGAATGGAAGAGAATTTTGAATCGGCAGAAGAGAACAGATGGAGAAATGCTGTTTAGTAACATACACAACAGCACCATGCAGCAAACAGGATCTGCCCTACAACTCAAGCTCTATAATAGTTAACTATTTACAAAAATATTTTTAGAATGAAAACACAGATTTAGAAGTATATTTTTGTTTCTTCCCAGCTGTCATTAAAGAAACCAACAATTATTATCTGAATAGTGTATAACAGTACTTGCTATTTTAAACCTAGGTGAAAAAATTAAGTATCAGTCAATAAAGACTGCTGACAATAACTGAAGTTTGGGGAGTGACCACTCTATCATTTATTTTTGACATGTTATGCATCTCATTCTGACTCCTATGGTAATAGATATTTCATCAAAAACCAGCTACAGAAAATAACTAATCAAAAAAGAAAATTAGCATTGAAATAACCAAGTAAACCATCTTTGATGGGAAGCGTGCCTGCAAATTGACAATCAGCAGGTAAATGTATCATGTAAAGTGAGATTTATGACTGAAGGGCTCTCCTTTCAGTATCTGTGTGTGCAAATAGGCAAATATTTGTGAAAACGACAATTCTAAAGCCCATTGCAAACACTTTCAAAGCTTACGTATCTCAAAATTTTAGTCGAATGTCTTTTCAAAAGCAGTTCACAGATCTTCCTACAGATTCACCTCATGCATGGAGAAAACAATTTCTTTTTAAACACAGATAAATGTAGCGTGGCATTTGTAGTAGCCTCAGAGCATGCCAGTCAGTGCAGTGTGTGAGCACCCAGGGCACGGCTGCTGCTCCCTCGCTACGTGCCTGGCTACTCTGCAGGCCTGGAAGTGCTTTGATGAGCTCAGCTTGGAAATTTATTGTGAATTTGAATTATGTTCCCTTTTTCTGAATACTGAAAGGTTTTGAAACACTACAGTCGGGAAGTAGTATCTCTGAAATCTCTGTAAAATTAGATATAACTATTTTCATGAAGAGTGAGGACCTTGGTTTCATAGTTCTACAAAGAGCTCAAAATAAATTTCTGCTATATTTCAGTGGAAAAAATAGATAAATTGTACTAAGAAACTCATCCTCATATAAAGCATGATACAATAATTTTTATACAAAGCATTAATCCCAGACCATCATTTAGGCATCCATCTGTTAATATTATTAGCAGAGGTGCCACTCTTTTTTACTTCTAACTTCTGAGGTCCAAGCTTTAGTCCTGAATGGTGTGATTCTTACTAACATATTTTATTCCTAAAATAGCACACATTTTCTCTAAACTTGCACTGAATTTATTAATTCAATTATTGTTAGTTCACTTGATATCAAGACTGTTATATTACACCTCAAAAGTTTGCTGTTTCTTTGCATCAGTGTGTTCCATCAGATCTACTACTGTTTTAACCTTTATTGATCTTACTGGAGCTGTTGTTTTCCTTTGGATTTTCCTATATAGGAGCCTTCTGCATTTTATTTATTTGATCAGTAAAAGAGCAGCCTCTTTCTTATTCACATACAACCTGATTGGCATGAAGAAATTCAGAAGACAGCGTGAACTACTGCCATGCAGAATAAAAGCATTAAGAATTGAAAGAACATTTTTCTCATTATCTTGAGGCAAAACACTTCCAAGTCCTGCTTGTATTTTTCTAACTCTCCGAAGGAAGACGCAGAAATGTTGGATTTTTCACAAAACAACCTAGAACATTCTTTTGCTTCCTTCCTTAGCTTATTTCAAACTGTCATTCTGTTTTCCTCTCTTATAATCCTCCCATTCTTCAACAGAAATAACCATGTTCAGAAAGGAGAAAAGGAGTCATGACAGTTTTCTGTCCTTAACCTCTGCAATGAATTTCTTGTAATAAAGGAAAAATAGGATTAAGTATTCTGTAGCTTCAGATAACAACCAAAAAAACCCACCACCCTCTTCACAAATTTTATATTGTTTAGCTGATTTTCAAAGAGAACTTGAAAACTGAATTTGAGATTAAGTTCACTTTGTAATTTAGAAGAAATATTTGATATAAAAACAATTCTCCAGAATATGTAAATTTGCCTAAAATGAGTATTTCCTTGAGTAATTAAAAGTTTATCTTGTCTTTCAGAATATTCTCCGCTTATGATAAAAAGAGTTTTTCCATTAAACTCTTAAAACTTCTGGCAGATTGACAAAATCTGTTGTTTAAAGATTTTTTTCATACATAATGACTTTTGCATTCTTCGAGGTTCAAATGATTCATTCAGAATTGTTTGAATGTAGTTATACATGCAGAAAAGTTTAATTACCAGCTATCTACGTGGCTGCAGTATTACCCTGAGGGTTGTACTTCTTTCTTAATTAAAAATATTTGAACTTAATAATAGGGAACTCTATTAAAATATGAATAAAACATTGCAAGCAACCAGGCCCTTAAAGTGTATTAAGCAGCTAGCAAATCGATTGCAGTAAGAACTGGTTAAGCTTTTTTTCAACCAGTCCTCTGTATGAGCAGATTAGAAGAGACCACTTCTCTGTAAATGCTCACTCAAATATCCTTTCATACAAAACTATCCTCTCATACATAATTCTCAAAACAATGAAGGGTGTTTTAAAATGGAAATAATTACATGCTTAACAGGAAACAAAATGACTCCCAAGTGTTGTCTCACTGTAGTTAACAATATTGTATGTCAGAACTTTTGTCTTAAAACTTATAGGAGCCTAGAATATTGATTTCTTCTTGCGAAACTGTTCACACATATAGATATCTACTGCATTCAGTAAAGAGCAAAAAAGCAAAATATTCCTTGTTTTAGATAGGTATGTAGTCATAAAAATAGTCATATTTGAATGTGACCATATTCATCAGAAATGATTGGAAATATTTTTAAGAATATATTCAACTTTACTGCGTAAGAGCTAGGCAGGCATGCTTTCTAATGATGGATTTAACACAGAAACACCTTTTGCTCAAGGAGCTGCCAGGCAGTCCTGCTGGCAGGAGGCTGGCAGCACTCGCTGGAGGGCATCGCTGGGTGCCTGCTCTGTCCTTGCACTTTTCTCCAGCCCGCCACGACCAACCACTGCTTGACAGATGCTGGCTCTTGAGCAGTATTAGCTGAAGTCTGAAGAACGTTCTCTGAAGTTTCAGGAACAAATTTGACTTGTTCCTCTCAGCTGTGATGAAATCTAATCCACTCGTTTATACCATTAGCAAAGAGGTCAGATGTTAAAGAATCAGATATGCAGCAATTCGAAGTATAAAAGAATTCCTTAACTGAAATGCCGAACACCATCACACTTAGTTGCTATTTACAGACTACACTTGATAATCAAGATCTAATTCCTCATTCTAAGCACGACATTTAACGTTAGCTTAGAAATAAAATTAACTATTAAGAAATCTCTAAGAACATAATTAGTATCAGACGAATTTGTTATAATTACCGTATAAAGATAAAAAAAAATGGGGATAAACCAACTGGTGAATGTAACAGTTCCCAGGGAAGCCTGGCAATTTAGGCAATGTTAGAGCCTTAGTGATGAGCCTTCAATGACATAACTTATTATTTCTCAGTACTGCATCAGACAGACTATGGAGTACACAGATCAATGATTTTTCTATGGTCCCTTTTTAATAACGTTATCGAAAATCTGTCAATTTTCCTCTGCAGCCTTTCAGCCCAGAACTATGTATGCATAACTCAGGCATTTCTAAAATGTGAGTTGCTCAATAACATCTGAGCTGATCAATAACATCTTTATCTATGAATCTCTGATTCTATTCTATCTAAACTACCACTTGAATGTGCAAGAAGATACAAACCCCAGAACTTTCAAGAGACAAAGCATTTCAAATACTGTTATATAAACTTGCAATGTATCTGGAAGAAAAATGTATTATTTCTCATGTCTTGTAAATGGGTTAATACTGCTCTTCTGTTCATACAATCTGATCATTCAATTTCAAAGTAAAATCACTTACACGAGCCTCTGTTGTCATACAGGAATTTTCTCTTGAGATTTTCTTCATGGACTTTTTATTCACTGATGATTTTAATTGACCATCCACTCTTTCAGATATTTCAGAGTTTTCAAATGCATTCGGAATTACTCTAAAGAATTCCGATTTACTTCCAGTTGGAGAAAAGCAAGGGGTAGGCATTAAGCTGCTTTGAGAGTCAGCAGAAATTGTTTTTCTCATAGCAGAACACTGTGATTTTGACAATATGGTTTCCTTGAGGTTGTGTTTGCTCTGTCCTTTTTCCTTCCCGTATTCCTTTCTCCATGACATTCTTGTTAATGGGATCTCTTTAAGAACTCCTGGATCAGATGTTCCTGGTCTGCTGTGGCTGGTGTCAAGGTATTCAGTCCTTTGGATGAATTCACTGTTGTCGCTCTAAATTCAAGAAACAAGGCAACAGTGATTCCCTCTCATCATGACACAATACTATTTTAAATAAAACACTGAAGGTTAAGTGTTTAAAAACGGTTTTCTAATTCCTACACTATTTTTTCTAAATGTGCAAAAATTTGGAGAATCATCTGCTCTTCTTGGCAACAAATCCATAAACATATTTCTGCAATCCAAGTAGGGAAGCCAAACGAGGGACAGGAGAAGAAATGGCACATTTCAAAACACAGGTCCAGATTCTTGTCCCACCTCAGAACGTTGGAAAACTCTCTAATCTGGGGTTATGTGAGAATCATCATTTAGATAAAATAACTGCACAACAGAAGAAAACTCCAAGATACTGGTATCCTTCTATTAAAATACTACTACTCCAAACTTTCCCATAGCATCTTTACCTCAAGCAGAAAGAAAATTTCTGCTGAGACCACTTGACACACTTCTGGGTATTATGGAACAACGTTTCATATTTAGGGAGTTATTTTATTAGTTTTATGTTTTTGTTATGCTGCTAGTAATGTCTCCATTAAACATTCCATGATCAATTTTCTTATGCTGACTTATGCTTCAGCCGAACACCAAACAGCAAGCCCGAACACAGGAGAAGAAAAATAAAAGAAGAGCAAAGCTGCTGTTTGCCTCTGTGTCACTATTCTCACGAAAGAAAGGATGAGAAGCCTCATCCTTGTCCACTTGAAATTGCCCCTGTGTTGTATGCTACCACATCAGGCACCATGTATTGAGGGCTTCACAGAGACACGGAATTATCAACATGCCTCTCACAGGCAAGGTACGATCCTACTGCAAAGGAAAATGCAGCAAGTTTGTTTGTCACTAACTTGGGTGAATCCAGGGCTGGACTCCTGAAAATGAAATATATAAAACCAAACAAATAATACAAAAAAAAAAAAAAAAAAAAAAAAAAAAAAAAAAAGCCACTCAAAAAAAAAACAATTGAGCCTTTTCTGAATTTTTGGTTTGCCACTGCCTACAATATTTTGGAGGCCCATCTTTACAATGGACATTAATACCAAAAAAAAAAAAAAAAACCCCAAAAAACCCAGTACCAGACAAAACCCAAGGAAACCAAAACTACAAACATTCTGAGAAAAGGACAGTGTTGGAAAGCTTCCCTAGTTCTTGTGTTAAAGAAATATTTTCCTTATGCTGACATAAAGAATAACCTTCCTGACTTTCACTGAGCAGAGCTGACAAAAACTCCTTGAAATCTGAAGAGTTCTAAATCTTCAGAACCAGATCACATACAGCACTGCTCATGATTTATTAGCCTGACTACAACTAAGTTAACACAGAAAGTCTTAAACCATGTTTGAAATGATGAAACCCTAGAGATTCAAGTACTTCCCTCCTCCCCCTGCAAATAAGGAAAAAACACACAATAACCAGGAGAGATTTTCTATTTGATATTATTAGCATCAATAGTATGGTTTCTCAGAACACAGCAGCATTCCTGTTAAATTTAATCTGTCTTGTTATCACATAACTCAGTTGTACTTCATTCCTCAGCTCTGAGGAACAGCTTAGAACAAGGAACATTTTTAAAATTAAATGAGAGAAGCACCAGAATGCTAATACGGATTGAAACTTGTATCACTTACTTTAATGACTCCCTGCAACAAATTTACTGATTTGATAATTTACTCTATTTTTACATCAGATTTTTTTTGCTGAAAAAATCATTTTCGTAATTTTATTGTTAAAAGATTCCCACATTGCAAAAGAAAAATTGTGTAATGATATACAGCTCACACGATATGTGAAGCAGAAACACTGATCATAAAAAAATACGGAACAGGTGAATTTTGATAATGCTCGTGGGCAGAGTGCCTGCTTACAATTTTAAAGGGCAGACTAAAACCTTTATTTACTGTAGTCTTGCTCAACTGTTCATATCAGTCATACTTCTCACTCACTCCAGGCTAGGATATTGGCTTTACTAAAATCTTTTCTGTTGCAAAGGTGTATTATAATCACTCACTTTTGTGGCACAGGGGCTGATAGAATAGTAGGTTTCTTTTGTCCACTTGTTACAAAGGGAGTATCTGCTTTTTCACCCCTGTATCCAGTTAGACACAGCAAATTGACAAAGACAAATGTGCCCGCAGGTATATGGGGAAAAGATGATTTATTCTCTCTGTCTGTCTTGAAGACAGAACCTCATCCTTGGAGTTTTAGGATGAAGACACTTTATCAAGAATTACATGTACAAAGTGGCCTACCTCCTCACTGCTGTCAGTTTCTTGAAAGCTATCTTCAATTTGGGTTTCATTTTGTGCATGGTTACTGTCTTGCTTCAAATCTAAAGGGAAAACGCAACTTTCTGGTGACATATTTGGAGACCTTCCATGACGAGCTGACCGAGGTCTTGATGAAAATATGAAAATCTCTTTGTGAGTCATTTGGTCATCACCTGTTTCATTGCTTTGAGGTTCCGCAGTGACATTTTGTGGTGCAGTTAAATTACAGTGGGCTGAATCTTGTGCAGCTTGTATCTGTTCACTCTTACCCAAATGAAAAGTCTCACTGACCATTTCAGGAAACATCCATTCATCTGAAATTAGTAAAAAGTAATAAAACTGTTAGGCAATAAAATGTTTATATATCTAGAAAAACATTATTTCATTCCATTTGGTTACTGAATTTATGCAGGCTTTTTTTTTGGGGGGGGGGGGGGCTGGTATTTTCTATTAAAAAAACATAAATCACGCAAAAGCAAGCAGAAAATTCATAATATTTCCATATTCTTTTTAAATTTATTTTTATTGCTGAAATTCTGTACTTTCTTTTATGACCAGAATCTCTGGTTTAAATCTCAATTTCAAGCTACAGGACTGCTGAAAAATGCATGAAGATATCTGTTGCACCAGGTTTCCCTGCATACAGGCTGTACTAATCTGCCAATTTTAAAACAAACAATAAACTACAGAAATGGATTTAAAGATTGAGTGCACTACATAAACATGGAAAGACCATTTTTATACTCTCACTGTTAAGTTATATTTTACTAGTTGGAATTATGGTATAGGAAAAAATGACAGTTTGATGGATCAAAGCAAATCTCAAATAGCATCTGAGAAAAGGAGAATTGCTCAAGTATGCAATACTCCCTTATCTTCATTAAAGCTACTGTGCTGTGGATTATTCACTAGACTTTGGAAATTCTGTCTCCATAAAACAAAGTAATGATCAACTATATTAAAAAACCCTTCAATATAAAATAATAAAAATGTAATAATGAAGTAGCAATGCAATAATTAAATGCCACAGAAGACACTAAGTTTACAATGGCATTCAACTCTTCCTTCTCAGTTTTATATATAGAAATAATTATCATTTCAGGTGGATTCAGTGGCTGTAGTAGAAAGAAAAAGAATCTGAAGTCAACTCATCTAACCACAATGTCACCTCCTCCTCTTCCCATTCTAGAATGGCTTCTAATTTCCCTGTTGTCAATTAATTGGCTGAGGTCATTACAAGTAACATTTCGTAACGAATTCTGAAGCAAAACTGTGTTAAACCATGTAGCTTTCATGACTTTTCAGTCAGTTCTGAAAACATAAAAAAGGATATCTTAAATAACACTTTTTTCCCCACGTAATAAGATGAAAAGGAGATGATTAGAAGCCTAAATACTCTTGACTAACTCCTGGTTTTGCCACAGGCATCTTAAACTTCTATATGCGCTATATACTCTTTCTGCACCAGTGCAATGGAAACTACTTTAAAAGATTGAGTGTCTTATACAGCATTTAACCTTAATTTTTTCCTTTTTCAACCTAACCTTCTCTGTAAAGAATAAGATTAGTTTCCAGAGATGCTGAAGAAATATACTGGATACAGCAGTAAGTTAAAGGCAAACATAATTAGCTGGTGTATTACAGCAGTTACTCCTAAGGTAATATGCAGGGGGAGATAGGAAAGTCTGTAAGACTGAAAGACATTTTACACTGGCTATGGAGTTCAGCAACTTCTGTAACCTGTAGTCTGTGTAGCATTTTGTTAATAAGCTACAAGTGAAAGAGATGGGATGTTTTGGACCAAACCAAATCCTATTATCTCTCAGCCACCAACTACACTGGAATTTTTCTTTTACCTCAGCATTTCCATGTCAATTATAATGAGCAATTTGGAGTATCTTCTTAGCAAAATATGGAAATTACTGTGTAATCACAACATTGCAGCAAACAAGATAAATGCAAGAATGATCCCCTAAACATCTAATTAGTTCTTCTAGACAAATTTATGCTAGAGCTTCTAATTGCAACCTAACATTTTAATGAAGGTTTCAACATATCATAATTAAGATTGGCATACTATAAACAATGCTCACTCATTTTATTTCTTCCCTTGCTAAAAACAATTTGCCTTTGCAAAGGTACTGCACACCTGCTATAGAAGATATGTTGATGAGAGCTCTGTAATTGAAGACAGTTACATGAACAACAGTAACTCTTCTCTAAGGTAACAAGGAAAATCACCTATGAACTCCTTCCCACCCCAAGAAATTTAAAGTAGTATTTATTCTGTCGAGCTGCATTCTCTGCTTTACATATCAGAAAAAAACCCATGAATTTTCTTCAGGTTGCTTTTTCATTTCTGTGGTACAATTTCAGCTTCTCTTATTGAAGATAGCAGCAAAATCCACAGTGACTACAACAAGATTAACATTTTATCTAAACATCCCAAAGATTAAACAAAATGGCAACAATTCATCATGTGAAGGCAAATTCTTTTGGACAATTTTGAGCATATTTGAGCCATCTGCCTACTTGACAGCTATGTATTTTCATAGAAAATAACACAACCTTTTCAGAGACTAAGGCTATTTCTGCCACAATGTCACACTTTCTATACAAAGTTATACAAGCAGATTGACACTGCATAAAATATATACACAGCTTTTTGCTTGGCAAGTAAGAAAGGGAAAAAATAGATTTGTCTATTAATTAAAAAAAAATTCATCATGGAACTGTAATGTCCACCCTGCTTCCCCTGACAACTAATTTTACATGAGTATAGTAAATGAAGTCCTGAAGTCCTAAACTCTTACCTGAAAGAAGTGAAAGGTCTAGTACTTTCAATGTTTGGGATCTTCAGTGTTAAATTTAAAAGCGATTTGAAGAATAAATTATTTTTAGTTCCCTTTAATCATGAGAGCATGGGATTTTTCTTTTTTATTCATTCACTGCTCTGGTACTCTGCTTAATCCTGTGAATCTTTATCAATGCTCAAAAGCAATTCTGTTGCAGGGTGTTTGATTTCCATAATCCCTGCAGCACAGACATTCACATTTTATGTGAATTGCCTCAGAAGCCTTTGAAATTTACTACAGATAGACTCCTACCCCCCACAGAACCGAAATGTGAAATAACAGAAAATTAGCACCATACCATTGGTCATCTCCCATGTGGTTTTGGCAGCATTATTTAGACATAATCTTCTAGGACCGTTCTTGTCTATTGGTGCTTGTGAGATAGAAAGCCGAAGCTCTGCTGCTCCACTGTCAGAGGTTTTCTGGGTCTGATTTGAGGGGTCTGAAATATAACCCAGAATCTGATTGAATACCTGTTAACATTCATACAATACTCACCAGAGGCATGAAAAAGCACCACGTGGAACAATCTTCTGAGTGTTTGTATCAAACATCTTCCAAAGAGTAAACAAAACTTGTCAGGCATCAAGATAATGACAAACACAAGAAAATCTGAGCTTAATATTGACTATGGAGGAAGGGCAAAAATATAGAAATTGTAAGAACTGACAGTAAGAAGAAGAAAATGGTTTAAATGGGCTACCTTTTCAAGTGTCAAATCATTCACCAATGTTGATTTTAGAGAGAAAAAACACTGGAAGAAGAAATATACTGGAAAGAAAAATACTGGAGGGAATATAATATTAATCACATCAAGATATTTTAAAACTGAAGTAAAACAAAGTAACACAATTCTCAGATGAAGTTGAATGATAAAAAGTCTCCAAAACAACAAAGAACAACTAGGGCTCTTCGCCAAGTGCACTACACTAAAATTTTTATATGTGTGCTGATATCATGGAGGGAAGAAGTATATGTATACTCTGTGGCTCCTGGCTCAAACACAGCACATAATACCTGCAGAGAAAACTAGCTTTTGAACAAAATGAGATTTTTCCAATCTCCTACAGAGAAACATGTGACTATTAATACAAATATCTTCAGTAATTACCAATAATAAAATAGAAAAACACAGAATTGAATCTTACTTTCTAATGTCAGAAGGTATGCAAAAATTTGGCAGTTTGTTTTATTTTTTTTAAGATTCTCACCGTTTTCATGCACATCTTCGGTTTCATGAGCATTTCTTTCGCCTCCTTGACCTAGAGATTCAGTGCACGGTGAGAACGATCGTTCTTGCCTCTCAACATTTTGGAGAACTTCATTTCCCTTTTCTAAACTTCGAAGTTGGCAGGACTTATTAGCTTGTTTGCCCGTAGACTTGGTAACCTTGAAAGACATTATTTTCTTAATGAAATATAAAAATCTAACAGCTTTCAAAATAAAATACTCAAATATTAAATACAAATTCAGAATTGCATTTATTTTCCAAATAAATGTGCCCAACTACCCTCTCATCAGAAAACTTCATGGCAGACAGCTTTGTGTGTCTGTGTATCTCTCCAAATTTCAAAGGTTTTTTTTTTTTTTTTTTTGACTAAGTAAAGGGAAAGTGAGGCAAATAAACAAAGAAAAAAAACCATCAAGATTCACTATCTCAGTAAAAAGTTAGTAAGCCATCTGCCTATCTTAGGTCCCAGGAGGAGTCCTTTCTTCTTCACTTGATTTTTTCACTTGACTTCTTACAGATTATTTCACTTGTTCCTTCGGACAGCTCCCTTCTTCAGTCTTTCAAACTGGGGCTCATACCCCTCAGCCTTCTCTTTTGCAGGCTGAACCAACACAGCTCGCTCAGCTTCTCTTTATATGCCCCGTGCTTCTGCCTACACGTATTTTAGCTGGCTTCTACTGGATGATCTCTTGTTTTGTCACTCTCTCTTTTACTGGGGGTCTTATGCAGGCTCATACCAGTTTTGGGATAAACTCATTTGCACAAGTGCTGCTAATTTAATGATGGTTTAAGCCTTACCTCTCCAGATACTCTAGTACTGACTCTTTTGGTTGAAGATGGGGGAGGTCCAAGGATCTTTGATCCAAACGCAATGTGTGATACATCTTGAGTTTTACTGCTCCGTGTATTGCCTTGTTTTCTATTAATCAAGGGGCCTGAGAAAAATAGATACATACAAGCTTGTTTTATATGATTACTTTAGCTTGACCATAGTTTTAGAAACATATCACCATACTTAAACTTTTACAAATCAACAGAAATAGAAGAATTACACACACAATACATATGTAAAATATATCTTCTTTTACAGAATAATCATTATAAATATGTGGTAAGAGTTCACCATTTTAGTACTCAAAAACAAACAAAAAACAGAATGTAGATTTAAAAGCACGACTATTATATAGCTATGTTTCTAGTATTTCTAATCTGTTTGTTTTTAAAAAGTTATTTTAGTAACGGCTATTCATAAACAAATACATATTTCTTTCTTGTGTGTAACTGGTAAAGAGCATCACTGACAACCAGCCTGTAAATGGAAAAAAATTCCAAATTAAATTAGAAAATAACACAATAAAACTGAGACAAATCTTTCAAGGCATGATTTACAAGCTTATATAGGACCTGATGCAAGCATTACTTATGTGCATGTTGTTTTTTTAAGTTATTAGAGCTGCTTTGTTACTGTGGATAGGGTCCTAATACTGCAAACATACACTTTTCCCACTGAAATGTTCTACTCCATGAATTTTAACTAGTTAAAAAATATATATTTCTATAATGCTTTTAAAAATGCAGAAAAAAATGCAAGCAAGTCTGCAAGGTAATTAAAAGTTGAACAGTAAACACAATGCAGGGGAACAGTTTGAGAAAAATTTAAAGTGGATGGAGAAGAAATTGTTATATATGGAGATAATTTTATCACCAATGGATCAGATCTACATGTAATACCTGTTTTCTTCTTTCTGGATTCTCCAAGATTGTCAGTTAAAATTAGCAATGTTTCAGCTTTTTTTTTTTCCTACTCTAAGTGAACTAGCAAATTCCTAGCTCTCCCTTGAGATCTGATGTCTTCAGAGTCATACAGTAGAAGCACACAGTCTTTAGATTCTCTTCAACATAAATTGTTTAATCTTTGCTTCCAGTGTCATCAAGGAAATTAAAAAAAAAAAAGTTAAGCATCTGCCACCAAATATCAGAATTTACTAGTACACAAAACACAAAAGAAGCTCTTCTCTGTCATAAGCTTCTTTTTCTCATATTCCTGCTGTGACATTTGGTCGCTGCTAACAGCTGCCATTTCACAAAATTAGGCGACCCATCTTGGTTTAACATCAATTTCTTTAATTTGCTGACTACCTTGGGACACTGTTAGTTCCAATTATAAAAGCTGATTTGCATGAAAATCACTCTTTATAAACATATTAATTGACTGCAATTAATTACCTACATCAACACGTAACAGTCATCTGGCATAATGAAATATTAGATGTAATTAGAAGTAGATGACAGTAAAAATAATTTGGGGATTTGATTACCAAATAAACAAACAAAAAATGGATAAAAACAACATCTTCTAATTAAAATGTACTTAAACATACCATTGCTTTTATTTTCAAGGTCTGACTTCTGAACTTCGAAATGTATGTCCAGAAGAACTAACACTACGCTCAAGCACTAAAAACAGACTAAACATTAAGTTGAGGGCATTTGATTTTCACAGATATCAGAGATCTTACCACTACTAGTGCTCTCCCCTGCCATTTCAAAGCTAAACTTATCAGACTTTCTTATTTAAGCACTTTCATACTGAAATCTTTGTCTCTGCTTCTTCAGTTCAATCTGTTTATTCTCAGCCTCCAAAACATGGGTACATAAATACACTCACATATTAGATACAAATCTAAACAGCTATAAAATGATGAATTAGAATAGGTCAATCTTCTGTTGGTCAATAATGGCCAAACCCAAGCCATTTAGAAATAAAGAAATTTTGAGTAAGAATTTGTGAAATAATGTTGGCAAGCTTTCAAAATTCAATATCCCTTTTTTCTTTTCTTACATTATCTATAATTACGATGGATATTACTGCTACCCATATAAATACCAAAATGATTTTGCAATTGCAATAATATCTTTTTGAAGTCCCACTCCTGACAAATTTAAGATCTCTCTGTCATCAGTCCGCTCCTCACACTGTTTACTTCTATTTTCAGAACAGTTATAACTGCATTAAACAACACAGAACCTAGTACAAAACTTTGGAGACTCCTGATGTTAGCCTTCAGCTATAATGAAAATTTGACAGTTTGAACCTACTGTTTACTTTTGGTCTCTTAGTTTTTATCCAAGTCAATAGTTTGTCTCTTTGTACATGACACACTGGCTTCTTTAGTAAATCTCTACATAACTCTGTCAAAGTTTAAATTATGTTTTATTATCTTCTAGTTTACTGAGACATTCAAATTATTTTGTGCTATCAGTAATACAGGATTTTCCTCCTCAGAGCATTAAGCTGTGTATATTCTTAGTCATATTATTAAAACAATTTTGTTATTAAAGCCAAAAATATTCATATATACTTCCAAATGTAAGCTAAACAGTGACATTTGAATGGGCATTCAGAAGACAAATCCTCAAAGATACTGTTATTATAAATCCTACGTTTCAATCAGAATTGTTCAGGCTGCACACAGACCTCCAACTATGGAGCAGATGTGTTTATGTAAGCATGATATTAGGGTTGTGCAAAGGCCATGACATCTTGTTTTTATGTCTCTGTAACTCTTAATATACACTTTGTATAAAAATCTGTTATTTGTAGTATTGTTATATGTATGTATGACATTCACAAAACTTTAATGCAATGGAATACCTGTTTCTTGCATTGTTATGGGATGGCTCCTGCACTTTTTCTCTGGCTTCTGAATTTCTGTCAAGTTCAGCAACTGTGTAACTTGAGGCACATCTGTGCTTAACTGGCAGTTTCGAGGAATACCATCTGTGGGCTTATCAGCTGCAGGTGGAACAACATTCCCATCTACAACCAAAAACACAGGCTTTATTCTTTGAAAGCTGACACCTACAAGAATTTTGTTGTTAGCCTACACATACCACAGTTCATATGATTATATAAAAAATTACAGAGATTTTAAAAGTTTGCTATAATTGTTCATTTAAAACGACGTTAATTTTAGAATAATATTCCTGATTTTTTTTGGCCCAAAAACATACATATTACAAAAAAAGTAGCCATAACTGTAAAAAAGAATTTGAATTGGCAAGTAAGAAAACTAAGTTAAATTTAAAAGTTAATTGTTAATTTTTACTAAAATTCAGCTTTAGTTCTAATACTGATACCTTGATTTTTCAAGTACACTCATAATCTGAAAATGACACTGACATCAGTGGGACAGAAGTAGCAAATAGAGAAATCCCATCGATACAAATAATGAATTTGCTAAGCTTTAGTTCCAAACTTTTGGATGCTATTATACTTCTTTTGAAAACTGAGAAGATGTCAGCCTCTCTCTTCCTGAGACAGCATGCACCACTATAAGGTGATCCAATTATCTCTGCTTTCCCTGTGAAAATCAATATGTGAAGCAAGGTTTCTAGCATCAGAACCATTCAGGAAATTCTGAAGTGACTTCTTCCCAATTTATATAAAGTTAAAGGAGATGAATATTCTGCTCCGAGTAACAGGGAAAAGTAACCTCAAAACCAAACATGAATAATGAATGCAGAATTGTTAACTTCATAGCCAATGCTCCACACCATGTTTCAACACTGAATATATTTTTGTTAACTAGTTTATTAACATAAATACTAAGTACTACTATTTTTACTATGCCCACACAGCATTTCACACCGTGAGACAATGTTTAGCGATAAAACAAGTGTGTACTTAACTTCTGGATTATTATGGAAACCAAACTACATGTATGTCAGTCTTGCAGGTCTTAATAATGCAGGGCAGAGGTGAATTCTTCTCTCCTATTCCATCTCAAATGTCTCACACACAAAATGCCTCCTTGAGTAAGTGATTCCTACTTTCCACTTGGTATCATTTATAAGAATAAAAAAATGGTGCATATAAGCTACTATGTATGAATCATAGCCACGATATGCCTTGAAACCACAGTCCCCACTACTGTGGAGATCTGGTCCCACTCATCTGTGGGGAAATCAGTTTCAACAAGTTGTGATTGCTAACTGAAAATTAATTAATAAAAATAATCAAAAAACACTGTTTATCTGTAATTGGGAATGCACTGTCAGTCTGTTTTAATGCCTCCAAATCAGGAGCTGTAACCTAATTGTAAGACTTGCCTATAGAAGGAAATTCATACAGAAAACCTTAGTGCCCACTAGCTGTGTAATAATCACAAATTGAAGCCAACAATTAGAAGTACAATGCTTTTCCACACACAATTTATTAGAACTCATTACATTAACTACATTTCACTCTGAATTTTAGAAATCATTAGACCATTTATGCCCATCTCAAAACTATATGGAACGAATGAGGGAAAACAGGGCACTGACAGAATTTAATTAAAGTCAATGAGACCTTTAACTGCAGTTTCTGCTGAGGATTTAGAGTTTAATTAATATTTCATTTAATTTCATCAACAAAAAAAAGGGTGGAGTAACCACAATGATCAAATACTTTCCCTTATTGGCATAGTCTTTTCACATGGAAGGAACATTTTATTACCACTTAAAATCCTTCTATATCCAAAATATTGTCATCATTGGCTACTTCATTATCTTGTATATATCTGCAAATACTCAGCCTGGAATAGATTTGAGTTTTTGTTTAAGCAAGCCACAATTTTCATAGCTGATGCTGAAAACTATTGCTAGTTAGAGTAGCTGTGCTTTTTCAATTCCTTCTTGGTTATCACAAACAAGAGAAAGGAATGAAGCTCCCTGCTTTGGAAAATGATGATTCAGGAGTATGACGGTAGTTCGGAGATTGGTACTTATTGATCAATATCCCGCTTTATTACAAATTCAAATCTCTCATTTTTCAGTTCTCTACCACTATTACATTCCCTGTGAAGATATTCTCCTTAAGGTGTATGAAAGAAATGGACTGAGGGTCACAGAAAGGTATTTATGCCAATTTCGGAGGTCTGAGCTCTGGCTCAGTTTTGTCTTGGGTTTTTTAAAGAAAAGAAATTCATCAGCTGCTAAGCTCCAAGTCAGAGAAAATTAGGGAGTCTGATGCTGCTGAATTTAACACTTCTTTTCAGACATCCTCTTTCTTTGCAGCCAACAGCAGCTTCTGTTAGCATTAAAAAAAGCCTTTAAAACAGGCTCTACTTGACCAATTTTGCCAGAATTTCTTCAATAAAACACTTTTAACGAAGTCAAGGCTCGAAAGATCAGCTATATATATTTAACTGATTACTTAAGTCCAAGACTAGTAGATTTAATTTGCTATGCTGTCACTTTAGTTTTCATTAAATCAAATAATCTTTCAAATTGCAAAACCAGTGATGAAGCTCTTGATTTTATAATATGAACCATCATAGTCTACAGAGTAATCATAACAAACCACCTTCCTCAGCTGTATCTTGAGGCTTGTTTTTTAAAGTGAAGATCTTTCTCAGTTTACAGTTTGCTGAAATAATAATTCCATCCAAAGACTGGAAGACAGCTCCTCTGAATATTTCACTGGTAAACGCTACCAAGTCAATACACACATTGCACCACTAGAAAAGAGAAATAAATAAATAATAATTCCAACCACTAATCATTGCAGAAGAGTATTAATACGTAATTCCCTATAAAAGACGCTCATGTGCAGTATTAGACTCTCACAGGGTATGATTTATAATGCACAACATTTTTGCTATTAAAAAAAATATTGCTGTATTTGCACTTACAACAATTATTTATACAAACAAATCAATAGTGGTGCCTATGATCAAGAGGGCCAGCCCAAGACAGCTTTGATACCCAGCATATCTGCTATACTCTGCAGCTATTTCTAAGTAAGCAACTTGAAAGAAAATACATCCGCAGAAAGTTTTCTGAGAAAAAGTTTTATTCTTCATTACCATTTCATTACAACATTCAATAATATAATTTCAATAATACGAAATGTTACTTCATTATTAAGAGTTACTGCAGCTTAAATGCTCCAGACTCTATACAGAAAGCTTTTGGGTAACTTTTTCTGCTTTTGCATTTCATGAAAAATGACCCCTCCGGAGTCCGTGTCCCTTCCACATTCCAAACTATAGTCCAAGTAAAGGCACTGTTCTCTAAATGCCAAAAAGCAAATATTTGTTATGAAACTACTTAGCTGCAATAACCATGACCTGCGTATTCATTACTATTCCAAGCTTCCTAGTCTGAATTTTTAGTAGGAAAGAAATAATTATTATGAAGACACTGTGCAATGGAATGGAAAACACAATTTTTAATTACTACTGATATTTCTAAGTCTACTGCTGAGGCTGAAAAATAGTGCAATTTGTAAAACATAATACTGGGGAAGCTAGCATATGAAAATGTAAGCTCTGTTCCATTGATGAAGCACACACCAAATTACTTCCCTATTCGCAACCAATCTTACTGATAACAATGCTCAGTGTATGCATAAAATAATTTAAACTATCATAGCCATGTAAAAGAGCTCTCTAATCAGAGAAAGTAACATATTCCCTAAATAAAAGCTGCAATAAAAAGAGATCACTATTTGAAAGAAAATAGATAGCTATAGCTTCTAATATGCTAAAAAATGCAGACATATTCTTAAAGAATAGGTCAGAGATTAGAGTTATTAAAATATTTCATCATTAAGACAGATTAGCCCATATAGACAGATCTCATGAATGATTTATTATCTAAATTAAAATACATAACTGCAGTTCATATGCTGATTGAATTTAGTGTATAACAACACACAGTCTAAACCTGAAACATCTGCACTAGCCTGACACCAAGACTAGTTAACTGCAATCGTTAAACATAATTTTATTTCAGTGGATCTTGAATGAATGGTAACTTCAGGAGCATGGCCTGATGCATTTTAATTAAAAAAAAGTTATACTCAAATCTTCTCATAAAGCAGAAACTCCTGAAATCTAAAATTATCTTAATTGTCTTCACTTAAATTATCTTAAAATTAGTAATTACAACTTGAGAGGTTTGTATAAAATATTCTCTCATGGATAATCTAAGAAAAGGAAATGAACTCTCAATGTTAGAAGAAGGGTGGGAAAGTACACGTGGTTAAGTGGGTGTGATACAGGGGATTCACACAGATTTCTTGAATCAACAGGAATGGAATTCTAAAACAAACACATTAACTCAAATAGGTCTGTAAATTCATAAAAATCCCTCCAATAAAAAAAATAATATTTTAAAAAAAAAGAAAACTCCACCAGAGAGTAAGGAATGTTCCCAAGGAACCTACTATTTTGCGCTTGATCATAAAAAGGGGAATTTTTGCATGCAGAGGGGTTACAGACAACTCCTTGTGGACTGTTGATAAATACAATCTTCTTTTAATATTTCCTAAATCAGTTATCCTGTAAAAGAAAAAGCAAGAAAGAAGAATGGATCTTTGTCAATTCACTAACTCAGTATCTTTGGGCAATCATAAAAAAAATGCTATTCATATGCAGAACACTTACGGCAGTGATAACAAATATGGAATTTACGAATTACTCCTTTTACGAGATGAGTAATGAGATTTCCTTCTCAAATTTAAACTTGGTGGCTATATTCCTGTGTATATAAAATCACTTTACATGCTAATTTTATTTCAGTCTACACTCTTCACTTGATTTCCATAGCCTTTCAGACTGTGAAAGAACGCAATCTGTATGAACTGAGAACACACTAACCTTTAATAACCATTCTTGTTTCTGCCCCTTAAGCTTGCATTACCTTGGGACACACTGTCACCTGCTAACTAGAAAAAACATTATCTGCTTTCTTTTCCTAAAAACGTATCTGTCACTTTGTATAGACTCTTTGTCGCCTTGAAGACAGACACAAAACACGGCCTGTCTGTTTCACTTCCCGAGCACATCTCTTCCAGCAAGAATTATAATACACAAATTTATTGCTCACTGCTCGGGTCATCTCTCGGTGACATCAAGGACACCGAATTTGAATGCCTCTAATAGATTTAGATCACGGTCACACATCAGGATTTTTTAAACCGATAAAGAGGCTCATTTTAATGTTCTGTCCCCATTTTTATGTCTTGGGGGCAGCATAATTTTGGTACCTCCCACCACTCTCACCTTGTTATACTATAGAATAGACATTACTTTAAAGACTGCATTTTGTAGAGTGGAAATCATGATTAATTTACCTATTATTTTTGAACAAGCTGAGTTCTAACAGATGGGTTTGTCTCTATAATTAGAACCCCCTCTGAGAAGATGACAGATAACTACCATAAACAACTTTCTGGCACATTTATTTAAAAAAAATTATATCTTTAAGATTTGAATTCTGGCTTTTGCTTTAGAATTGTGGGTCCTGTAAACTTCTTTTTCTTTAAATGAAAATGCTTTCTTCTTTCTTATTACTAAAAACTACCCGTAGCAACAGATCCAGTGTAAAGACATCAGCCCAAATTTGCTGATAAAAATCCTGAAATGGTCAGCTTAGCAGGGCATTAACTCTGGAACGTCATCTTTTTTGAGATACTTTAAGATTTCAATCAAGATCAGGATTCAATACAAAATATACTGCAAATATGCAATTATAAAAGGGTTCTGCTAGATCCACTGGCAAAACCCAGGTGAGCCTTCTTGCTCCCTGGTTAATAGCGCCATGCAAAGTAGTTTCTCTTTTTTACCTCTCACAACCTCCTGCTTTTGCCTGTCAATATTTAGAGGTGCTAAGAATTTGAGGCACCAAAGAACTTCAAGGTGAATGCTTCACACTCTCCCTATAGCTCCCGTGTACAGCTAAGGAACTGAGCGGAGGAAACAGTAACAGTAACCTGAGTGCTGAGACACAAATTCTGCTCCTGCTGAAACCCAAACTGCATAATTCTCAGCAGAGAATGCTGCTTTAAATGATGCTATGACAAAACAGAGGGGAGTTGAACATAAGCCGTGCACACCTCCGAACAAACAGCATTAAAACCTTAATTTTACTTCATAATATTAGCCCAAGAAATATGTTTAAACCTCATAATTTGTTTTTATTTGAATAGTTTTCTCTCTCTTCTGGCAATAAAAAGGCCATTAGTGTATGTGCAGCTCAGTTACTTTCTGAAGTGCAACAGAAAAACAGTCATTTAGAAAAAAGGTGCACTTTCATATCACACTGAAATGCAAGTCTAAAAATATCTTTTCCTTTTTTTTTTTTTTGCAATGGCATATATACACTATATAGAAAAAGCAAACCTTCGAGGAAAAGTTGTAGTCACACCTAAAGGAGTTTAAAATTCATTTCAAGAGATATATTTATGATATTATATATATTCTACAGCAGAAATTAGGTGAAACATTCAAATAAGAAGGGGCAAATTTAGAGAAAGAACGTGCCCTTAAAGTTCGGCAAAATTATTTATTTGCTGTGAAAAGAAAGAACTATTCAGGAGCTCATGTAATTTTCAGACTTTTCAACTACACTGCTGCTTGGAAAATAAAACCAAACACAAGTGTGACAAAGCCTGCATCCGAAGTAACTCAGATGACAAGACACAGCACTTTTTCACTACAATGCCTGAGCACTTGTGGAACCCAACTTTATGTTATCAAAAAGCATGACCTATAAAAGCAAGAAACATCTGTACTACCATCCTTGATTTTCAAAGATGTATTAAATATCTATATACCCCTTAACGTATTTTTATTATGTCTCTTCTCCAGTATTCATATCTAAGGGTCAAACATGTGATAGAAAAGTAATGAGACCATGTTGAGAAAAATGAGGTAGTCAACAAGAAAAATCAACCTCATTTATAATAATACTCCTGTGATCAGCAGGTGCATAACTCTCGCAGATATGGTCATTAACTGCATTCATTTTGCGCTTAACATCTACATTTGCAAACCATTTGAAAGTAAAATTACTTTTCAATTCAATTTTCAAGTTTATTTTGTATCTTCAACTTTGATTGACTATTCTCCTCACAATAGCAACTACAGTGAGATTGTGAGTAAATGGTAGCAACTACCAAGAGCGTAGATAAACCCATCTCCTCAGATTACCTATTCACTTTGCTTCTGTATATAATTTATAAACATTTGTTAATGTTCAATTCAAGGCTTAAAATGATCTTAGAAAAAAAATGATGTTGGACTGTTGAAAGGATGCTTCATTTATCAGGCTCACTTGTTCTTAAAATAAAGGAGTTTTTTCTCCTTATAAATGACCCAACCTGGAAGTTTACCAAACATGAAGGCAGGTATTTCATTAGTGTTGCTATGCAAAAAGCAATTCCCATACAATGTATTATTCATGTAAATCTCTACGTTTACTGCTCAAAATCCAGTTAGAATCCTCTGGTAATATTAGTTTGTTAGTATACAAGCACTTCGCAATCACAGGACCATTTTCTCCATAAAAGCTTCATAAATGTTAAATAGTATTAAAATCATCCCCAATTTGTACCTAAAAAAATAAAGGAATAGTAATAGTTAGATGATTTACCAAGGTCACAGAGTCCTAAATTTCTTCATTCAGGAACAACCTGTATTTCATTCATGTTTCATTTTTTTGCATACTTTTAAGTTAGTCTCCTAAGAGGAACTATGCCATTAAATTAAATGTCTGACCACCCGAAATCCAGCGCACTGTGTTCTGACCCTAGTTATGTCAATCAAAAAAAAAAAACTATAAAATATAAGATTGAGAGAGTTGATGGGTTGCAAAGACAGAGTATTAGTTGTAAAGAACTAGCTTTATTTTCATAGATTGGAACTTTCTTTGTTAACCTCAGTCTTTTCTGCAGAGAATCAAGAATAAAAATCTCCCTTAACTGTAGCCATAGAAAGGTAGAAATATAGGTGGCAGGTACGTAGAGAATCAAAAAACTTTGTTGCTGGAATAAAACAAACAACCCCAAACCTTTGAAACATGAGCAGTGATAAAGAATTGCCAATTCTTTAGTTCAATCTACCTGCTACTGACATATTTGCAACCAATTCTCCAGCCGACTGATCAGAAATAACCTGTAGCAAGAGTTCCATTACTTTCAGAACTTCACACACTTAAAAAAATCATTCTGGACATGTTCATTAATATCTTTTGCATATGTCCTGGAAACATGTATCATTCTTTTACCATCCTTTGTTTTTACAATCAGGCCATCTATGCGGCTTATTCCCACCAAGTACTGAGCAAATCCTTTTGTATAGCACAGTGCATAGCTTCTCTGAAGCATGAACGCAACAAATCATTTAGGAAATTGTAATTCTAGAAAACCTTTTTTTTAATCTATTTTGTATAGACAAAATACTTTAATGAGTATTAATGTGTGGAAAGTTTAGTGCATACATCCTTTCCAGAAATGAAACAAATTATGCTTATAATGCAATTATTTATGCCTCTAACTCATTTTGTAAGTCCTTTCCCTAGCTTATTGGCTGTTATCCTTTCCACTTCATTTTCCTTTCCGAGAATTTATCTAGTAAGACGACACAATTTGTCCTTTCAAGTTTAGAAAGGCAAAGAAAGGTCAGGTTTATTCCTCCTGTATATGAAAGTTCTCTTGCATGCATACATACATATTTCTCCCATGTAAACCATTTGTTCTAATTACTGAGGTCCACGAATTGCTACTAAATTTGCCCTTTGAAAAGACAAAACTTACATAGAATCTCAGAATTTTCCCGTTTTTGGTATCCTAACCAACAAATCCTACCAAATAACCAAACATAATTCAGTCATTTCTCCATATGACTTGCACTTAAACTGATCCACTAACAAAAGATATGTAATTAACACTTCTCCTAGAAATTCCGGACAGCAATTTGGTTATATCGGGGTATCCAACACCATCACATTTACTTTGTTCATTTAATAGGATATCGTAAGTTTAAAATGGAGTCATTACCTAGCAAGTTAAAACTTACCAAAAAACAAAGCAAGAAAAAGAGATCTGAGATATATTTAATCAGAGATAGAATGATACAAATTAATATAATTACTATTACTTTTCAAACTTTGGGAGAAACTTTGCAAAACACAGAGATAATGCTCCTGATCTTAAATCAAGGTGAATTTATTTTTGAAATTTTCTTTATAGGCAGAATGTAAATCTTGATATCGTAAGCTCTAGAAGAAAAGCTCACAGACTGTTCCCAGGGGACACTCTCCACGTATTCTACCAAGGACAGAGTGTCATGTAAATCCCTAGGGAAGAAGATTCAATAAAGTGTTTTTTTTTTTTCCCCTTACACACAGCCAAATAGCACAACCTGAAACAGAGTTTCTAATTCTTTTCAGATCGCTGTAATTTTGTTTTGAGGCTACAGTACAATTTTAAACATCTATTTTCTCACCTCAAAAAGTCCGCTGTAAAACATTCAGGAACATGGTTTATTAATTTCACATGATACCTAACATCTGAAAAAAGTGTACCACAAATAAAGTATGACAAACGACTGGCTATACAGTATTTTAACAAGAATGAATGTTCGTGTTTTTGATAAATTGCCAATTGCAGAAGTGCTAGCACCTGCATATGCCTATAGTCTGGAAGAGAAACCAAGAATGCCAACACAAGCCAGATGGTGTTTTCATTTATGAACAAATATTTTCCAATCATTGACTTACTTTTTCTTTTTCAGAAAGGGAGCAAGATCCATAAAAGTGACGATTTAACAATTGACTACTGAACTTACAACAGATGGCTATATCCTGTATTACTAAGAGTTTTACTACTATTTGCTCAAAAAAGCTGCGCATATTACACACCCTCCATTTTAGTTCTAATTTTATTATGCTTCAGTGAATACTTTCATCAACAACCTACTTTATGTACTTGTTGGGCATATCAATAATTGTTAACGTGGTGATACTTAATATCATCTGATCACGCCACCTAACAAAATACTAAGATCCTTAAATGTTTTCAAGAGAAAAAAAACTAAGAAAGCTAATTCAAATGGTGGTTATTTGCACCGTCAGTATTTATGGCAGCAATCTTGCATGACTTGTTGTCAGGAGCAAGTTGGAAGGTTTAGCTCAGCCGATGCCAGCATCATGGCCTTGAAAGAAGGACTATAGTTTGTAGTTGGCTGATCAGATTGATCACTGAACAGGCTGCAAAAGACAGAATGAGCCTCAAACTAAATTCATAATATTTCCATTTATGTACAGAATAGGGAAAAGTGTGCCATAAATCATTATATGCAGCTATTATAAAAACTGCCAGAGTGCTTTTTTTTTGTTTGTTTTTTTAAATATTTGCAGGTATGGTGGCTTAGAATGATCTTAATATTCACTTGAAGGTACTGAAAGATTCAACTAATAAAATATTACTCAAGAAACCATCTTGGAACATAAAACTCCAGGGAGCATCAGTACAATCGATATTCTGTTCACCACCAAGTAAGAAGTTCTTAAAAAATAAAAATACATATATTATGCATATAAAGAACCGAATAGCAGTCACTACTAACATGTCAAAGCAATGTGAATCAAAACAAACTTGCCTTCAATATTTACTAGGTCATCAGGAGCCTCAAAGGATAGAATATACATCTATTTTGCAAGTCCTGAAGGAAATTACAGCTATATCAATTAGAGTTGATTTCTAATACAAAATTTGCTACTGAAAGCAAGTGATGAAAAGGAAAAAGAAAAGAAGATAAAAAGTGGAGAAGATCTTCTTGGTAAGAGCTACAGCTGGACGGCAGTAAGTATTCAAAATAACCAAAGCTAATACAAATCTGCAGACAATCTGAAGATAAATTCTACACTCAATTAATGAGAAGTGTCCAGTTTTACTGTACCTTTCTTTCTTTAAAGTATATAGAGAGTTGCACCAAATATATGACCCAATATATTCCAGCGTTTTACCTTTAGATTTTCTTTTCTTTTAAAAGGATTAAAACATATTTCTTTATTACCTCAAGCCAAAGGACCATGAAATATCCATTTATGCATTTCTTATTAGTTTTCAGGACACAATCATGAGTCAATACTTCCAAATACTTCTGTTTGCTAAATTCATATCCCTTTTCTTCTAGATTTCTCACCATCTTCATTCATGATTTTTAGAATTTGTTTTGTCTTCAGAGGAATGTCAGTATCCAAAAACATCCAAGAAATAATGATCTCATTAGCTTAATTACCTCATATTGACTTGATAAGTCACTAGGCTTTAATGCAAAATCTGCCACTATAATTAATGGCTGTAATCAGGCATCCACTTTACGTTAGGCATGCAAGGAAATTTTAGGCATCTTACAGTAACTCAGCGGAGAAGTCTTGTCCCAATGGCACAAAAACCTGAAGTGTCAGAAACTGCTGGATCAGTCCAACTGGAAACAGAAAAAAAAAACTTAAACATGTGCTGTGTGTGTGTGCGCGCAGATGCACACTTCACCATCAAGAACATTAATGATGCACAACTATAATGCTGCAACATTATATATCCTATATCCTAAGGTTCACAAAACAGACAAAAATTTTAAAGAATATCAAATCAAACTGCAACAACAATGTTGTTATGGAACTCCTGTCTCAGGCCAAGGTGAAAATCTCATGAACATATATGGAATCTATTCCTTTACATGCAATTCTTCAGTGTTTCAAGAGCATGTAAACAATAATTAAAAATCCTGTTGATAGAAATACTATTCAGATCATACCAACAGTGGCAATAGAAGCTTCTGATCAACAGGAATGTAGCTTAACTGAGGGAACAACATGGAAAATCTTTTAGCTTCCATAAAGAAAAAAAATGATGCAAGACTGTCTGAATTGATTTTTTTTTTTTTTTCTCCTCTCTCTCAGTGATTGGTTCAGGGAGGATATGAGCTGCTCTTTAGTGACTAAACAGGACTAGAGCAACATTACTTCCTCTTCTAAAGGATGCCAATTCCTTCTTTTCCTGTTCCTTCTTTTGTGGCTGGAATGATATTAACTAAATTTTGAATTATATTTGTATACATGCTGACTTTCATTTTGGAAGAATATTCAAAGACTGCAGTACATCTGGCAGATTGCATATGTGTCATAACTAAAATATTTGAGGCATATACACCTGAAGAGACAAAGAGACAGTAAATTATAATGGACAGAAGTATGACTACAGTATTGCACCACCAGCTAGATTTAATTTAAAACCAATCTATTCCTAGCAGTAATAATCGACACACTAGTTCTCAATTCTTTTTAAGATTGTAATAGTTTATTTTAATATTGACAATAAAAAAATTAAAGTTAGATTTCCCAGGAAGATACATTAGTCTAATACACACAATACCAAAGAGAATACTAAATATCTTTCACAAAAATCAAATAAATCTTTAAGACTTTAGTGCATGACCAAACTTTTCACTCTCATTTATTATTTTTGTGCATGCTTGCAAATTTAAATTAATTTGTAATTACAAGACCCTGTAATGTCTTGTACTATGTAAGGAGATTCCAGTTTCAGTCAATTAAAATCAGCATCTCCTTTCTCTCTCCCCACAAAGCAGGCAGTTAAATCACAACCAGCCTGTTTTATTACAAGTACAACCTCTTCAGGAGAATTTAAGTAGCAAGTTGTGATTGTAGTTGTATGCCCTGCAGATGGTTCTGACATCAGCTCTCCCTCCCCTTAAAAATTTAAGGTCAATAGCAATAGGAACCACCTCCCCAAGAATATAATGGAAGGCCTTCCATCTCCAGACTTGTCCGTAGCAAATGTATGGACTGGAGTTTGCTTACAAGAGCTTATGACCGCAGTAATACAATCATTTCAATTATTAAAATAAGTATAAATGAAATCATGATATCCCACTAACACGTTGGACTCAAAAGGACCATTGAAGATTGACTTTAATTAGTGCTGAATGGGGTTAGAAATTATCTGCCTGTGGTCAGTCTGTAGCAGGATCTGGTAGAGAAGTGAACTGAACACCCCAAAATTAGGACAATATATACAAACCAGACAAGTATCTTCCCTAAAGCACTTACTTTAATACAGCACCTTTACCTATTTACCTCTATACCTTTACCTATTTCTAGCAACTTATGCACAAAGAAGTTAACCAAAAAAAAGTATTTCGCTACCTGTGAATTAAGCCCAAAGTAAGGAAGCATTAGATCAGTTTTACAGTCAGAATATCACAGATCTATTTCTGACACTTACGAGTTTGTCTAGCTTCTTTTGGTAGCTGCATTTTGTTAATTTGACTGCTTCCTTCAAGTACAAAAACGAAGCCTTTTACCTCCTTATCGTACTCCTGTAAAAGGAACAACAAACATAAACATCCTGACAATTCCTCTCCTCACAGTCACACCACCAACATCCAAAGTTACTTCTTTTTAAACACAGCAATAAAATTTGGCATATGGCAGCCTGCATTAAAATGTGATAGCAGTTTAGAGGTGACAGTAATAATATGATCTGTAAAAACTTGTCCTTTACTCACGTGTTTTATGAGCAAACAATGATGATAAACTTAAGTCATGATCTTAAGTCATTAAACTTAAGTCACGTGGGCCTAACACAATTCATTACTTACTAGGACAGAAAAATTCTTTAAGCTTTGATTCTCCCTAAATAATTAAGTTATAAAATTACACTGCAACCATTCTAGTTGGCAAGAAGGTAAAAAGTACTAATTTAAGTGGTCATTTAGTCTGTCATTATAACAGAACTGCAAACAACAGCTCCAGAGTCAGATCAAAAACCTCATTACCTTCTGATTTTAAGCTTCGTTCACCATTTTCTGTTTCACACTCTGAATTTTAGAAATTTTCTATAAGACTTACTTTCCATATAGCTGATGGATTGCCAGAAATCTTCCACTTTGCACCAGGGTTCTTGCCTTGAGCACTGAATATTTCAACAAATGCACCACCCTGGAATAAAACAGCTTACTGATGCATCACCCAGCCAGGTTTTCAGCACAGCATCAACACTGAGCAAGTGGAGAATATTAGAACAATCCCTTCTCGCATGAGCTTGTGCTAATCAGAAGCAGTACTACTGATCAGTAGCATATAATGCTGAGAATTGCTAAATAACAGTATTAATAGCATTAAAAATACAAACATGCACACACACGTGACCAATATGGCAAAAGAGAAAAAGAGAGAAGTGAAGCATAAAGAATGGCAAAAAAAAAAAAAAAAAAAAAAAAAAGGAAGAGTGGTAGTAAGGTATGCAAATATGCAAATGAAATTACTGGCGCTGTCCATAGGTACCTGCTGAGCAACCCTGTGCTGCACTGGGAGAATAAGCCAAAGCTCCTGTTCAGAATATACATTTAAAGTCAGCACAACTTCTCTACCTGGGCTGGAAGTGAGTAGGGTGCCTTCACTGGCCCATAAGGAAGCTGACAGGCAGAAATACCTCATTTGCATCACCTTGTCAGGGTCTCTATGTTCGTTCATATAAAAATATTGAATAATTAAACATTCCAAAAACTTTCCTGCATTGGCACTATTTTCCCCCCCAGAATATTCCACATGGAGTTCTTTCAAAGGTGAAATCAAAAAAGTTTAACAAAAGGCCACATGTTTTACCTGATATTGATTTTTGAACATTTTTCCAGCTTTCTCATGGAAAAATAGTTTCAGCTTCTCAGATTGTAATGACACAAACTAAGCTGTAAAATAAACAAAAAGAACTTTATATAAGACTTGACAAGGAAGGCCTTGACAACCTTGTAGTAAATCTCTGACTTCCCCCACCCCCCCCTTTTCTTTTTTTAAGACAAAAATACTATTATGGAACACACTTAATGCGAATAGAATGTATGCCTACTGTATCAGAGGGCTACCACAAAGGAATTAAGTTCAAAAATGAATAAATATTGATGCTTTCACAGAAAAAAAAATAAAGATTTTTCCTTCTTCATCAAGGACTCACGGCTGCCCTTTCTTTTAAAATAAAAACTGTAATTTTATCATCAGCCCTTATTTCTAACAATAAGGGTTTCCTCATGTCTCAATTGCTTGAAATCCTACTTTTTTCTTTTTCATTGTTTACTGCTATCAAATGCCCACTGGAAAGCATTAGAACTTCATTAAAGAGCAGCCTAACGCTTAATATATATATAAAAAAAAAAAAAAAACACACATGGAAGACTTGCAATAGAAACCACTACATCTAGAGATAACTGGCAGAGACTTCTTAGACAAATTATCTTCTTGCAGATTCAGTAATGTCCTTTGAGGATGATTAGCCTAAGACTGAAACCAAATACTTATTCTGAGAATTATTGAAGTCAAGATGAATTAAGGAATGCCTGTGGTTTGAGAATTACAAGAGTAACAGGGACTGATACTGCAACTTTCTCACTTCTTCCTTTGATCATGATGAGTGTTGCTGTCTTGCCTGAATTTAGCACAAATTGAAGGGACCATGGAAGGTGGCTGCCAATCTCTAAAGACATGTACAATCCAGACACAAGAGACAACACGCACCTTCCCTGGAGGAACCCAGGGAGCGTGTCAACCTACGGAGAACATCCTTTCACAGGACTGTGCCTATAACTTACTATATAAATCATTACTACATTTCCATTTCAGGTACAGAATACTGAAAGAATCAAGCTGTTTTTCTGTTTTTGTTGTTGCTGTTTTCATAGAGGACACCAGCAGAACTTAAGTGTAGCTTCTCCTGAAGAACAGCCTAGCTGTTTTCCTGATGTCTCAGGACAGGATAAAAAGGGTAAGAATACATACGCAGTGATAACCTTTAGGAACTATGCAACAGTAACAACAAACGGTGGGATGATGAACACTTATTGAAGGACCAGATATCTCACACCATTGCTAGAACTTTTTTACTTTCACATCATCAGTTACAAAAAAAATCTCCATTTACAATGCTATCTTCTCTTACCTAGTATTTTCCCCTCAAACTAGAGTATTTTACCCTGGGATATGGTTTATTTCAATGATTCCTTGTGTGCATATATACCCCAAATTCTTAAAATGTCCAAATTCTAACAGCTGGCCATTTTAAGTTAGAAGTATATTTCACGTATACTGAACATAAGCAGATCTTTAGGCTTTTTTTAGTTACTTATTTAACACTGAGCCCCCAGAAAGGGAGGGCTGAACAGGCTCACAGGGTCCTGAGAGTCTGAGCAAAGTCTGCTCGGGTAAACAGCCCCCTTGACCTAAAAGGAACTATTTACACAACTGAAAAACAGTACTTCAGTGTATTTTCCCAACCAACTCCCCAGTGTTAAAGAGTATTTGTTCAAGATACCCTATTCTAGAGACGGAAGTGGGAAGCAAAATAAAATGAATCTGCACCAACTATTAATTTGTGTTGAAAAATGACATAAACACACTATTTTTGGCAGGGAACATAGGCTTAGACCCAAGACTGTTAATACATATAACTCACCATCATGGGCCCAAAGCCAGTGCTGATTTATGGCAGGCTGGGACACACCAGAGAAAGCAGTTCATCACCGATGAAGGGTTTTAGTATCTTCTAGACAAATGAATTCCACACATTGAATATTTAAAGCTGGGTTTATAACACTACTATATATTTTCTCAAAACACAAGTTAACATAATAAATGGGCAAAAAGATCATTAATAAACTCTACCGGGACGGCCAGCGTTGCTACGCCACAGGCGGCAACTCACGGAGCGGGGAGAAAACAAGCGATTAAAGCGAGCGTTTGGCCCCGAGGAAGACGGAGCCCTCCTGGAGGGGAGCCCGGCGAGCCGCGCTGAGGCGGGCGGGACGCCGCCCTCGGCGCCTCTCCCCGCGCCACGTCGCCCTCCGCTCCCGGCTCTGCAAACCGGGGCTGCCCGGCCGCTCCTGACCCGCGCTCCGCCCGTCCCCGCCGCGGCTCGGCGGCCGCGCTCCGCCCAGGAAGCCGCCTCCATGTCCCCCTCTAGCGGTAACGGCCGAAAACGAGACCTCACCTACAGAGAGGGTGGGCTCAGGGCTCACCCCAGGCGGGGTGGCCGTGGGGGAAGAAGCTATTTAAGATGGCGCCGAGGCGCACGTGAGCGCTCGGTAATGGCGGGTGGACGTTACCTGCATGTAGCCCCATGCCCATGCCCATGCCCATGCTCATGCCCTGCTTGGCCATTGTTCTGTTATCGGGAGGCAAAGTCTGGCCCGGCTTCCCCTGGTCAGCTGGAGCAATCGTTTGCTCTTTTTAAAAAGTCTTGCACATGGAAAGTGTTTCCCAAGGAAGCAGCAAGTCAGTCTACATCACACTCCCTGGTTTTGAAGAGACTTGAATGGACTTGAAGATCTAGTGCTTCGATTCTAAGAAATGAAAATAAGATGGCCCTCTTAGCTGAACATTACTGTTGCAAAGAAATGCAACGCCTTATCATCTCTCAATAGTATCTCTTCGTGCCTAAAAAAGCTTGTGACGGTTTAAGAAGAAGGCTGGGTAATGAACTTGCTGCAGGTTTTTAGAATGCAATTTTAGCATTTTTTTTTTTTTTTCTCCTAAGGACTGCTGTTTTGATCACTGCATTATGCTCACAAAACCCTGCAATCTTTTTACACAGAAAAAACTGAATGCCTTTGTTCTTGAAACATGTCTTAATGCCCCTACGAAGGACATTTGCCGGGGCTCTGTAGCCCATGGCAGTGTGGTGCAAGGAGGCCTGCAAGTGCGGTGCCATCCTGGAGCCCTGCTGCATCCCTGTGCATCTTTCCTTTGCTCCTTGAAGGTACTGTTGAATTTTGCCAAGGAAAGGAATAAGTTAAATAGATTGTAAGATTTATTTAGCTTTCTCATTTTACCGCAGAATTTCTGAGGAAATCGCATTGCACATAGTTTTATCATACACTGGATTACACTGATTACAGCTCGTGGGTGCTGAAGATAAGGAAAACAATAACACTAAAACTGAACTACAGGTTATTAAATAAAAACAGCTAATAGAAAAGGACAAACGGGAGATGATGATAGCAAGGGAAAGGTTAAAAAAGCTATTGGAGCTTCTGTAGACAACAGGAAACTCTGTGGTTTATGTGGTCTAACCCAAAGTGATCTTGAAATTCGTTTCACATAACTCTGTATTTGAAAAGCCTGAATCTGTTGTGACAGGAATTATGCTAAGGCCCGAGGAGCCAAGAAATTCCAGTTAGAAACTAAGATTTGGGCTGAAAAGCCTGAGGTTATAAAGGTATATGAAGCAGCTGGCTGGGAGTATTACATGTGGAAGCAGCTACCTGTCTGCTCAGGGCAAAATTGGGCTGTACAAGTCCCTCTTGGCAGCTGCTACAGAAAACAGTAAGTTTTAAGAAGTACTCTAAGGAAAAAGTATTTACCTAGTTTCTTACAGTTTGTATAGAAAAAGCAGATAATGTTTGTTTTAGCGAGCAGAACTTGAAAATGCTGGGTAATGTAAAATAAGCAAGGAACCCTGTATAATTAGGTTTGTCCCCCTCTATGACATGGGCCTGTTGTGACTGCAGGCTCTGATTTTATCAACATTTGTTGTTACAATGAATTATTTCAGGGTGTATCTTTAGTCTGGTTGTTGTTAATGCCTGAACAGGGTTATATATATTTTCCGTTGTGTAAAGGCTTCAAACTGCTGTGTAGTGTGTAGTAGCTAAAGCCCTGGAAAGGTGTTCAGCAAGTGCTTGGCTATTCATTGGGAGAAAACTGTGAGGATTCATATGCCCTTACCTTCTAACATAGCCCTACTATACTCTAGACCTAACTCTGTACAGTTTACAACATATTTTCCATGGAAAAAAAGGCTTCCTGTATTTTGCAATAGCAAATTAGAACATGTGGACCTGCCTTCCTTCACATGTACAACCTAAGCACAAGGTGTGGTTTGGTCTCCTGTCTTTTAAATTAAAATACAGCCATGTTAGTAGTGTCATGCTGGGAACTGAATTGATTTAATTTAGAAGAGTATTCAATGTGCACCAGATATTTGATGTGTGATATTAAAAGCAGCCATTTTTAAGGGACCCCCCACTGACATAGCCTGGCTTCATATCCATAAGAATATAACTGTAATTTCCCTCATCCTTTTCTGACTCTGCCTTATTGCATACCATCACTCACATGTGGAGCAGCCTGCCAGTTAATATATGCCAGGTGGCCTCCTTTCCCTCCTGTGTAAAGCTCCATTTCAGCTCTAATGACCATTTGCCAGTCTGTTTTATATTCTATTGTTCTGAATTGCTTTGGCTTATGTCTTTTTGGACTGACGGTTCATCTAGTTTGGAAATCCCCTGTCTCTGTAGCTCATATTGTATTCCATAAAATACCGTGCATCTTTGGGGAGCGATATAAATAATAAATACTAATTAAACTAAGTAAGAAGACACGCTGTCATCTTACGATGTTTTCTGTAGCTCCTCTTGCCATTCCTGATTTACAGGAAGGGAAAACGTGGTTTGCCAGTGCTGCCTGCGTAGCCTTCTCCTGGTAACAGCTGCCATGGAGCTCAGGCACATTTGCCCCAATGCTGGGCCTGTCTTTATTTCCCTTAAGCTTTCCTTCTCATCTGTTACCTTCTGATGAATGTGTTTGCCAAGATTACTTCATACGAGTTAGTTTGTGTGGTCACCATTGTACCCACCACTGTTCGTGGACCTCTGAAAGCTTTCATGACGGCTGCTTTCTCCTCCAGGCGTGTGCACTGAATTTTACCTCCTTTTTTTGTTTGTACGTTGGTATTCTAATGCAAATACTGTTCAAATAAAATATGCAATTGTTAGTTACTTTAGCAGTCTCTGAACTTTTACGGCAGAAACACTTCTCAGAGATATGCACATATATATATATTTTTTATATACACATACACACACACACACACACACACAAAATCTCTCCACCAGCTTAAGGCTTTCCTTCCAAAATGGTGGAATATAACACCTTTTGATCTTGAAAATACAGGATTTGGAGAAAGTAGTTTTCTTGTGTATGTTAAAATTGAAAATCAGTTGACAGCCTGTTTTCCTAAGCCCCAACTGGTACTCAGGAGAAGTTCCGTAGCTTCCCTGCTTGAGGATTTGGGATAACTGTGAAAAGGTCCTGCTAGGTCCAGTTTCCATGGAGTATGTTTCCGAGATTAGATTTTCAGTGTTTCCTTTTCACTATGCAGTCTTGTTGGGGAAGCTGAGAATGGGATTCTAGAGAGAATCACAGTTGTGGGAAGAGTTCAGGGCTGCTATGGTAGAGGTGATGTACCACAATTGCAGCGCTAAGATAAAGGCAAAGACACTGGTATCCAACTGTCACCGAGTAATTCTGCTCCTGAAGGGTTTGTGTGCAATAAATGCTCTACAGCACACAGAAAGCACTGAGTGTTCAGACAATAATACTTGACTGGACTATTTAATACTTACATCTTTCAGCCATTATAGGAATCCACCCATGTGCTCAGCAGGACAAATTTCTGTTTAGAACAAACATTTCAATCCTTAAGAGCATGAAAATTTATTTAATGAGAATGTTTAACTAGTGAGCCGATATTCTTGGATGTAGAAAGACAGCCAGCACAGAGCTGAAAAGAATACTGATTTGTTTCTCTTTTATGTTTTGTTTGGTTTAATATGGGGCAAGTGGTGTCTGTTTACAGATAAAATAAATGTGAGAACATTTGAAAATGGGCAATAAACTTTTTTTTTTAACTAAAAGAACACCTATCAGCTTTATAGCTCTATGTAATATTTGTGTTAATGACCTCCATTCCTTCATGCTGCTTTGATTCAGAGTTTTGAAACTGATTCAAAAAACAAACCCTGGATGACCAATGAGAACTTTAAAAAGCATAGCCACTTTTCTGTGTCCAGTTAAGCCATTAAGTGATAAACTATTGATTTTTATAATGCAATTAATTTGCCAGTGATTTCTCTGGAAAACATTTTACATTATTTTTTATGTTAGGCACTCAGCACATTATCTATTGTAAATTATATGATAGTGTTCTGAGTCTGGAATGAAACATCTCCAGACTAGCTTCACTATTTCAAAAGATTTCACTTCTGAAATGATGACCTGCATCTGTTTGATGATAAATACAGATAAATGTACAAACTCAGGCACAAATATTGAGAAAGGATGGCCATCTGCAGTTTTCCACTGCCTTCCTTCACGGCTGAGGGACTGGATACTATGCAGCATTCTCCATCCTGCCTATATCAAATTGTTCAGGGGACAAAAGACTTCACAGAGACCAGTTACTTATAGATGTGCGTGCTAAGTTCCTTACATTTCTCTAATCTAACAATATTTCTCTTATGAGATCTTTAAAAGAACAACAGCCCTTTTATTTCTCTGATAGTGCTTAACATTCCCAAATCTCTTGCCATTTACCCTGTACTCTCAGCTATTTTCTCTTTTCCTAAAACTCTTCTTTTACCACTGCAAAGATCCCAGATGTGCCAAATCCTCTATGAGCTTTTTCTGCTTGGCAGGCAGACAAGAGCATGTGCTTTGGCCTATCCAAAGCAGGAGATCTGCTGAGTGGACATCCAGTAAGTGCTTATCAGCCTGGCTGCTGCCAAGAATATGGACAGCGCCTTAATTTTTCCCACCCATGTCTAGTGGCTGCATCAGTAACATCTGTTGTCCACCCTGCATTATGAAATGTATAGGAACAAGTATCTTGAAGCTATTCTTTAGAAAAAGTGCCTTAAAAAAGTGTCACAAGTTTTCGGAGAAGGATTTTAAGTGGTTGGTAGGGAATGCTTGACCCGAAGTCTTAC